AACACTATTTATTTACAATGTTACATGTTGAATTTGAATTTTATAATCAGTTGTAAAGAAATAAATCCGGACCGCTATGAAATACGTCAGTCGTCTGGTCTCTAGGGTGTACTCTAGATCTGGTGAAGTGCGATTTACATAATTGAACGAATTAATTATCGCTAATTAATTACGGCCAAGCAGTAAATCGTACACTGTATTATTCTCTCAAAATAGCTTAACTTTACATAATAAAAAGAAACCAAAGAAAGATAATTTAGATGTATTATAAATGTAATTTGGAAATGTTTTAGGACTGTTTATCGGATAAAAGAAATAATAAACAAAAAAATAAGCAAAAAATCTATGCGTGGGTTGTTCCAGAATTGATAAAGCGAATTACCGGTAAAGTTAACACTATATAGAGAGAATAAACTTGTTTGTTACAATCAGGAATTGGGTCTAGTTCACGTTCATCCTGGTGAAGTCATTTAGTTTGTTGATACCATTAGGGCGGAATGACTTCAGTCTGTGCATCCAGAACTTTTCCTTGCTTAACCACTACTGTCATGTCCTCCCATTTGTGACCTTCAAGGTTAAAATGTTCCCCAACGGGTTCATTGAGTTTTTTGGTCTTAATGGTCGAACGGTGATTATTGATTCTCCTGCTGATATCTCCCGTTTCCCCAACGTACTGTTTGGAACAAACTTTACAACTGATGAGATATATGCAGTTTTCTGTTTGACAAGTCAAATTCCCTAGAATTCTGTAGCTGCGGCCTGTAACGGGGCTTTTAAAACTGTCTGTGTCAAAGCTGTGCTTACAGAGAAGAAATCTTCTGTCGGAGCAAGCTCTAAAGCCTCCGTTAGGTAATGGATTGTCCAATCTGGTTCTAACTACCATGTCCTTTAAGTTCCTCGGGCGCCTGTAGGCAGCCAATGGAGGTTCCTTAAAGACCTCTGCCATTCTTTTGTTAGAGAGGAGAATTGGCAGGTTCTTTTTAAGAATACGGCTGAGGTTCTTAAGGACGGGATGGTATGTGGTTACCAGAGGGACCCTGCTGCTATTTTCTTTCTCCTTGTAGAGTAAGAGGTTTTGTCTGTCGTGTCCTGCCGTCTCATCAATAGTAGTTTGTACGTTGTGGGCTTTGTAGCCTCTATTGCATAAATGGGACTTTAGGAGACTGCTCTGTTCCTGATATAAGGCAGGGAATGAACAGAAGCGACGAATTCTGGTAGCCAGACCCTTAGGCACACCCTTGAATGTGTGTGGGGGATGACAGCTAGTCTGCATGAGATATACTTGGGAATCGGTGGGTTTCGTGTGGAGACTAAACTCGATTTCGCCATCAATCAAGGTAGATGTAGTATCTAAGAATATGTTTTTGGAATTAGATACGTCTTCAGTAAATTTGATAGACTGATGGAAGGTGTTGGCAAACGAAATGAATGCTTCGAGGCTCTCGCGGCATTCCACCCACTTCATCTCTATATCGTCAATGAAACGCAACCAGCTAAGGGGCCTAAATGGTGCTTGAAGTAACAAGTTGCGTTCAAGTCTGCCCATGAAAATATTGGCATAAGATGGGGCCATTCTCGTACCCATAGCAGTGCCATTAACCTGCAGGTAATGTTCTCCATTAAACATGAAATTGTTACATTTGAGAACATGTTCAAGGAGCTTGGTAAGGGACTCGGTGGAAGGAGTTTGTATTGATCTACTGTCCCAGACTTCTCTACAGGCCTCGATACCCTCATCGTGCGGAATGTTGGTGTACAAAGATGTAACGTCCATAGTCACGAGAAGGGTATGATCTGGAAAACCAGTGAAGGGCGTCTTGTTGATATAGTCTGTGGTGTCCTTGAGATAGGATGGCAAATTTTCTACATGTGGACGGAGATGGAAATCAATGTAGCCGTTTTTGTTTTTCTATTTCCTTTGTTTTTTATGACTTCTTAACTTTTTTCTTTGTCCTGAGGAAGGGACAGGGCGTCCCGAAAATTTGACAATTTCTATTGTTCGTGTCGTTGGTCATTTTTAGTGCTTTATATAAATTTCCATCCTTGACCTTGTATCTATTTAGTAGATCCGACACTTAGGATATACAGTGTTGTTGGTTTTTGTAGTGCTTTCTATAAATCTTTTTTCGCCAACTGTATCTTACAAGATCCACCCGTATATCCGTTTTGTCTCTGTTCTTTTTTTCTGTGCCTTTCATTTGTTTCTGTTTTTGTTTATTTCAATCTTCATTTGTTTTTCTTGTCTTTTATTTTATACCTCACCCTTGCAAATTATTGACAATTTTATTTTTGAAATCTGTCTCTTTTTCAATTTGATCAATCCAGATGAGTCTTTATCTTTTCTTTTAATTTTTTATGAAATAAAAAGAATACACTGAAAAATTATATGAAATTCAAGTAATTCCACCACAACTTCACTGAAACAACAGAACACTCTGATGTTATTTATGCTTCACAATTCTACTTTGGTCAGGGGTGCGACAAAAATGTTAGCATTATCAATGAAGAAATATAAAGAAAAAAAGATGAAAAGAATATTTCTGGTCGACCTCCTGCAGTTGCTTACAGTGTTTGTCCTGTGAAGTAAAATATACTAAAAATATATTTCATCTTCTAAATATATATTTTAGCTAGTTTTGTGACATTAATAGGGAATAATGCAAGATATAAAGCAAGGTTTACATAATTTTATGTTTTAAGTCTTTTAACCATGAATTTTGAACTATAAATATTTTAGAATTTCGGTACGACTTGATGTTGCCAACACTTTATGACATTTTTTGTTCTATGGTTTTAATTTTAAATTTTACTGCAGTCAGGAGTGCAACAACTGTTTGTAATTATCAATGAACTTCATCTATCTTCACTATAAAATTAACTGCAGAAAATGTTTGATACCATTTACAGTTGAAATCATTATGTCTATCAACAAATTACACATTTTTTTTTTTGGAAATTTTAATCAATTCACGGAATAGTTTTCATCACTTAAGATATATTTTTAAATATATATTAAATAAGTAAATAATTTAAATATTTTCAAGTCAAGAAAATATGAAAAACTTTCCTGAAATGATAAAAAGAAATCAAAACAACGATCTGCTTTACAAACTTTGAATGAGTTATTGTGTATTATAATTTGTAAAACAATGTTTAATAAAAAATATCAAATGTCAGGAGTGCAACAAAATAAGGTAAGATAGGATCAGTTCAAAATCTAGTATTTTTGTAAGAATATTTGTATATCAATATTCTTTTTTGGCTTGGATTTGAAAAAAGACTTAAACTAAAAAAAAAAAATTAAAAATTGGGGGAATTTATTGTATCATGTTTCTTTCATAGTAAAACTGTTCAAAACAGAGTTGAATCAATTAATGTAAAATAACATTCAAAAAGCCAATATTTTTTACATATTCAAGAAAAGTCAATCAAGATTTAAATCTAATCTTTTATATCCCTGGCACAAGTTTAAAAGATAATCACAAAAAACTAATTTCTTGTGATTATGTGATTACGTGTATGTATTATAGAAAGTATTTTAGGATGTAGTAGTGTTTTCTTTTTTCAAATAAAGTTACAAATAAATCTTCTGAAACTTTTTTTATGCATTTGTCTATTGTCACTTCAGAAATTTTGACTAGAATGTATGTACAGTATGGTGTTGTAATTGAACAAAATGTTAAATTGATTTCCCCCTAAAATTGTTAATTTGCTGGTCATTATTTTGAATTCTCTCTACTGCAAATTTTCTCTGGGGAACAGCAGCCTTTTTTCATATTAAAAGCATCTTCATTGAATAATTTCAATTTTTTCAAATCTCGACACTTTTGAACAAGGCAACTTTACTCCTGGGCTGGATATACTTGCTTATCGGTAAATATATACATGTATCTGGTAAATAATTTTAATAAATATAACAGGGTTGTGATTTTTCAAAAGAAAACATGAATAATTGTATTTTTGTGTAGAAAAGTTGTTTTTGATTGTCTTCAGATGGAGTAGTTATATAAGAGATTTTAAAGTTTTTGTAGATAAACTCGGGCAATTGGACTTTCAAATAAACGCTCTTAAAATTGTTACTTGTATTGGTGAAATCAAATGACATGACGTTCACACTGGTTTAGTTTAACCATCAGAATTATCCAATAATTACTTTGCTAAATTCCAAATAAACAAAAGGGACATTAATTTGTACACAAGGAATTTTTTTAAACTTATAATAGTGGTGAAGGAAATTAAAACGATTTTTTTCTAACAAAGAAAAGTTTTATGACCATTTTGCTCATGGCAAATTCACATGTTCTTTGGTTACGCCCAGTGAACCAGTGCTTGTTATATTCTAATGAACAATGGAAGATGAGCTGAACTCGATGTAAACCAGATCAATGTGTTGAATGGCACACTTGCAGCCACAGATGTCTATTGCAAAACTGTCTGTAAAATAAATATTATTCAATGATGCCTACAATTGTTGAATCTGATTGTTAAAACAAATTTATAAAATAAACTAAATACCTGAAGACATGGTGTCAGTATAAAAGTTACGGTGTTATTGTAATGGCATTCAATTAATTGATAAGCATCTCTCTCTTTCTCTCTCTCTCTCTCTATATATATAAAATAGTGATATGTAACTGTCTATATGCAATATATTGATTTGTACTGATATGTATCCTGGTCCCTTTCCAATTTTAGCTAGGACATTCACCCAGACGTAAGGGTTGTTGACCTCTTCCTTTCTGTCTAGGAGTGGGAGGAGCCGAAAAAATAATCACGTGATTTAATGTTTGTAAATAAAGCTGTTCGGAGTTCATCTGAGCTTTTTCTCTTGATCAAATAAGTTTAAGAAGAATCCAGATGTTTACGAATAAAGTTGACTCACGTGTGGTAAAGTGTGCACGTTTTTCTAGACTTGTCTTGTTTACAAACGTAAAATTATTTCTGGCAAGGTCGAGGATACTCGAGTTCGAGGTAAATATATATAAACGCTTCTGATTCCGACATGGAGGAGAAGAAACAGAGAAGCGGTGTAGGACACTATGAATCAATGCTCATTGAAGTGTCATTCATTGTCCGATGGATGAAAGGAGAACACCAGCAGTCGGAATTGATTTGGGAACGTCATTTTCGTGTGTTGGTGTTTTTCAAAGCGGCAAAGTGGAAATTATTGCAAATGATCAAGGTAACAGAACAACGCCAAGCTATGTTGCTTTTTCAGACACGGGTCGGCTCATTGGAGATGGAGCCAAAAGTCAGGTAACTACGAATGCTATGAACACAGTATTTGACGCAAAAAGATTAATCGGACGCAGGTTTGATGATGAGAATGTGCAGACAGACGTGGTACGTTGGCCATTCAAAGTCGTTAATGACGAGGGAAAACCAAAAGTGGAAGTCTTGTACAAGGGAGAAATTAAGAGATTCACGCCAGAGGAGATCAGTTCCATGGTCCTTGTGAAAATGAAAAAGATTGCTGAAACGTATCTCGGTGAGTCCGTCAAAAACGCCGTTATTACTGTGCCTGCGTTTTTCAATACCGCACAAAGGGAGGCAACGAGGGATGCAGGTACAATCGCTGGTCTCAATGTCATGCGTATCATCAATGAACCTACTGCTGCAGCTCTTGTATACGGGCTTGAGAAGAACATTACAGGTGAGAAAAATGTGTTAGTCTATGACTTGGGAGGCGGAACATTTGACGTATCCATCTTGACCATCGACGAGCTATCTGTTTTTGAAGTCCTGTCGACAGCTGGAGACACTCATCTTGGAGGTGAAGATTTTGATCACATCATGGTAAACCATTTCATAGAAGAATTTAAGTTAAAACACGGAAAGAACATCACAGGTAACAGTCGGTCACTTAGACGCCTGAAAATAGCCTGTGAGCGCGCAAAGAGGATACTATCGAGTAGTACAGAGACCTGCATTGAGTTGGATGCATTTTTTGAGGGCATTGACTTTTACAGTAAGATTTCTCGTGCAACTTTTGAAAAACTTTGTAATGATTTGTTCCTTCAAACCCTGGAACCGGTGAAGAGAGCATTACTGGATGCTAATTTAGAGACAAACCAAATTGATGAAGTGGTATTAGTGGGAGGATCAACAAGAATTCCACAAATCCAAAAAATGCTCCAAGATTTTATGGGAGTTGAAGTATTAAAGAGATCTGTGAACATAGATGAAGCTGTGGCATATGGTGCAGCATGTCAGGCTGCCATCCTTGTTGGAGACAGAGGTGAATCACTTAAAGACGTTGTTCTAGTGGATGTAGCTCCTTATTCCCTGGGCATTGAGACAGCTGGTGGATTTATGGACAACGTTATTCAAAGAAATACCAGAATTCCTGCTGCGGCGTCACAGACATTTACAACTTTTTACAACAATCAGCAGGGGGTGGCCATAAAGATTTTTGAAGGTGAACGAGCAATGACCAGGGACAATAACTTCATTGGAAAGTTCGAACTGAAAGGCATTCTTCCAGCATTATGTGGTGTTCCTCAGATAGAGATCATATTTGACATTGATGCCAATGGTATCGTGGATGTAACTGCTAGAGACAAGAAAACGGGGAAATCCAGTCAGATCACAGTCTCAAAGAACAAGTTGAGGACAAATGAAATAGACAGAATGAAGAACGAAGCAAGGAAGTACCAAGAAGAGGATGAAGTCGAACGACAAAGAGTAGAAATTAGAAACAAAATGGAGTCCTATTTGATTTTATTTCAAGAAAAAGTACGGACTGCTGGTGAAAAGCTTCCGTTGGAGGAAAGAAATACAGTTTCCATGGTATGCAGTGAGACTTTTCGCTGGCTGGACAGTAATGACAGTAATTTAATGGAATTAAAACGAAAGCTGAATGAAATCCAGAAACTGTGCTTGCCCATCTTTGAAAAACTCCAGAACAGGATTGAAACAGGAAACCAGAAATTTTCCAGCGTGGAAATCATTTAGCTTCACTCATTTGTTAACATTTTACTTTTTTTGGTGAAAAAATAGAACACAAGCTTTTAACATGTGTCGCCATCTCTCATCGATGGAAGATGTCAAGTAACTGCTGAGTTCCTTATGACTTAATTCTAAGTCTGTCTGTTTCTCCGAAATCCGAAATGTTTAAAAACCATATCTACCCTCTGTGCACTGTTAAAATCGATAATTAGATATTGTTAGTTTCCATAGTGGTATTATATACCTTTCTTTTTTTTCTATCCCCCCCCCCCTTCATCTTTTTTCTATAGATTTTTTTTATGTTTTTGAACTTGTTAAAACGATTTAAGGCAGCACTTGTTTTCAAGTGTATCTTGTTAATACATGTATGTACTCTAGAACTACGGCAACGTTCCTTTTAAGACATGTTCAATTCACTCCGTCTTCGTTATTATCATTTACAGTTACAGATGTGTCGTTTATTGATTTTCAATCTGAAAATGATAACATGACAAATTAGTCATCATTTTCAACTTCAAATTGAAAATTAATAAACCGATAGATGTATCAAGTTTTTTCCTACTTTATTTGACATTGACGCTATTGTAGTTACCTTTACAGTAAATTTATTTATGTCTACTTACATACTGCTATCAGTATCCTGTTTCGATGTTCTTGTGATTACCAATTATTTATTTTATTTCTATTCTGACATATACAGGAGCATGGCTTTCTGTGATGCTGTAAGTATGGTCCAACGTGCTAAAATAGCTAAGCTATGCAATTTTTAATTCCATTTATATTAATTTTATTTAAGTATATTAATTAATGAAGTGATATTCATTTCAATAGTTAAATGTATCATATGAAATATGAATAAACTACTACTATTTTATTTGACTGCCTGTACAGTAAATGATAACGACAATGTGTTTTGTTGCTTAGAATCAGAGTTACCGAGTCTATACAAAAAAATGTATGCATTCATTGACCTTAAGTCATTTTTCACTTGAGCTAGAATTAAGTCCGATTGAGCTTTTCTGATGACTAATTATGTCCCGTTTAATGTAACTGTGTGTAAGCTTCCTTGAGCACAATATTGGTACATTTTAAACCATTATATGGTTCAAAGTTCCTCAGATCATGGTTTCTGTGCATTTAAGGGCAGTCTTTTAATCAATTAAGGATATGTGGAGATTAAATTAGGTTAGGTATGAAATTCAAACATTTTTCAGAATCTTGACTCGGGTGTTATTTATTACGCATAACGAAAATTATGATTTCTTCTCCCAAATAACTAAATGTACGTATTGCGTTGATTATTCTGTAAAACAGAGAAAACATAGCAAAATTACACACAGGCATAGACACACAGAAAAAGAAATGTATGATTTTTATAATCTACATGTATGTCATCCTTTAGGATTTTAAAAAAAGATAAAAAAATATAAGGAATATCCTGATAATACTTAGAATCGGTTACCCTGTTTAAAGATGCTGGAATCACAGTATGGAAGCAATCATGTCAAAGAATTGCTGATTTGATAGTAATTTATTCTTAGTTGAAGGTCGTGCATGAGATGTCATCGACCCGAATGTCATGTTAAAACAAACAGTCGGTCAACGACCTCAATTATACTTCCAGGTCAAATACCTCTCTGACAGAGATTAGAGGAATATATGCACGACCTAGATAGTTGATTTTTTGATCTTTCGTTCAAACTCACAAGTAGGGTTATATTAAGTACAACGGCACTATACAGTGACAAATGTTAGAGGAGCGACCCCAGAATATTTGCCGATTTCAACCCAGTATGTATGTGTATGACTATCCGATTAATATCCCCCTCAAATATTTTGAACAATTTATAACAATGAAAATTTTATGCGTCTGCCCCTGATTTTTAGAGAAATTAGTAATAGAATTGAGTAATAACAAAGATAAAATTTCTCTTATCAATATTTATTGTTCTTAAATCATCCGACACAAGTCAAGGCTAGTGACTGATTCACCGGGTGATCGAGGCAAATGAACATACAAAGTTAAATGAACTCTTTCTTTACACATATAAATGGAGTTCCGTTTCTTTAAATGTGTATAGAGTGACTGTTACATGTACTACAAGGATTCACAATGTTGTATTTTTTTTTATAAAGAGCAGAAAAGAAAGAATAAATAACTCCTAAGTAACCACATTCTGTAGATATAGTAATGGCAAGTCCTATACATGTATTGGTATTTCTTTGATCTCTCAAATATTTATATGAATGAATTTGTGGACAGGATACATCCATCCCCAATGTAGATGCAAGGGCCCCGAATCCAATGAATTTGTATAAGATATATTCCACAAATCATGATATGTATTTTCAACTAAAATTGTAAAATATATTTAAGCCTATCCCATAAATATACTAGCAGTTTTATGATATTTTGATACTTCATCCTTTAGAAAAATCAATCCACAGCGAAGAATCTCAAATTTTAAGGTACACTATGAAGAGCACACCCAAATCACTAAAATTAGCAAAACTAAGTTTACATTTACCGATTGCAACGTGTAGTTTCGAAATATTTTGCTATATATAACTACATTTCATATGTAAACAATATATAATGATTGTAAATTATAATTAAAGAATGGTAATTGATATATACTTGTGGATAAACATTTTTCAGATAAATTTAAATTCTCACGTGTAAACTGTAATTAACATTTGTTGATTACAATAAAGTGTGTTAATTTTATAATCAGAATTTCACTAATCATGAAACCCTATTTATCAGAAACTATTTTACATTTTAATTTCTGTAAATTCTAGTATTATAATCGGTAAAAAAGCTAAAGTTAACTGTTAACAGTATAGTTACATGTAACTGACCCTTAACAAGTAATGTATACTCTTACTCTTTTCAATGGACGTAAACTTTAACTTATACTCAGTAACTATAGTTTTGATAGATTAACTATTTTTAACATCTCCTAGTCATAGTTTATCGTCATTAACTATAATTCACTAGTGGGTGAATTTTAAAAAAAATGACCAAACACATATTTATCAATCTGCACTAAAAATACAGGCAATGGGAATAAATTTTTATGTCCCAGCATATGTCTTTAGACAGTGTCTAAATACCTGCCAATATCTCATTGTTATCTCAATTCACAAAAAAGTTATGCCCAAAAATGATGCTAAAAATGTCAAGAGTGCAACGCTTTTTGTGACATTTTGAAAATTCAATATTTTTTAAAGATCTGTGAAATTAATGGTTTATGATGGAAATAAAGACTTTCCTGATAATATTCAAAGTATTGAGCTTTAAATGTAGACTTTAGCAACTTTTGTTTGAGCAAGTTGTGGTCATGGCTGATGTTGAAAAAAAAAATGTTATACCATGTTAGGAGTGCAACAGAAAAAAATGTAGTAAGGTCAAAAAACATTGATTAAATCTGAAACTCAATTATAAGTCAAAAAAAATTTTCAAAGTGTAAAATAATAACTGATATACAAATAAAAACTTAAAAATGTTATATAAATCACAAACGGCATTAATGAGAGTCAAGTATCTGTGCATACCCAATAATGTCTGGAGTGCAACATTTAATGTTTTGCTCCCTAAAATGAAAAAAACACCTCTTATCAGCATATGATTCTCTGATTTTCATTGTGGAAAATAAAGACACAAAGAACATTTTTACCAAATAGATTTATCAATCACAGTTTCTGCCTGTGTTTCAGATCTATATTTCTATGGTCAGGAGTGCAACATATTTTTTTAAAGTTTCAAGTTATAGGATGAAAATACTTCTATTCATGCGAAGAAATATTTTTTAATTAATAATGGTCTATTTGAATAATTTAGTACTGAATTATTGACTGCTTTATTATTAAATTAAAATTCTTCTTTTTCAATTTTATCAAATTCAGATGTGCTTTTATCTTTTCTTGGATTTCTTATGTATGTAAAAAATTGTAATAAAATTCAAGTAATTCCACCTCAACTTCACTGAAACAACAGAACAAGTTCAGATGTAATTTTGGCTTCATAATTCTACTTTAAAGACTCCCCTGCTCTTGATCAGGAGTGCAACAAATATGTTAGAATTACTGCTGATCAAATATGATTAGATATATAAATAAAAAATGATGGGTAGAATGTTTCTGGTTGACTTCAGTTGCTTACAGTGTTTGTCCTGTGAAGGAAAATATTTTATAAAGTATATTTCGTCTTCTAAATATATATTTTAGCCAGTTTTTTTTTCATAAATAGGGAATAATTCAAGATATAAAGCCAAGTTTAAATACTTTCATGTGTTTTAATTATGAAGAATTAGACTATAAATACCCGATATTGCATAATTTCGTTACCACTTGATGTTGCCAACACTTTATGAATTTTTGTGTTCTATGGTTTTAATTTTTAATTTCACTGCAGTCAGGAGTGCAACAAAACTGCTTTATAATTATCAATGATCTGCATCTATCTCTACTATAAAATAAATTGAAAAAAAAAAAATGTTTGATACTCTCCGATGTTCAAATATCAAGTAATTGCAGACATTTTACTGTTAATTCAGAGAATAGTTTTCATTACTTAACACATATTTTTAAATACACTGTATATATATTACACATTGCAAACAATCATGTTTTGATGTCTTGAAAATATGAAAAACTGGCTGTAAATGATAAAAAATATCAAAACGATGAATTGATTTACAATTAAAGAATGGATTATTGTGTGTTATATTAAAAAAAAACAATGTTAGATAAAATACATATCAGATGTCAGGAGTGCAACACAATAATGAAAAATAGGGTCACTTTAAGATCTAGCATTTTTTGTAAGAAAACTTGTATATCAAAATTCTTTTTTTTTTGGCTTAGATTTAAAGAATTGACTTAAATGGACAGAGAAAGTGATTTTGGAGGAATTTTATTGTTTAATATTTCATATTAAAACTTTTCAAACCAGAATTGAAAAATAAAATGTAGCATAACATAAAAAAGCCATTTTTTTCACATATACAAGAGAAGAAAATCAAGGAAGAAAATCAAGGTTTAGATCTAATCATTTATATCCCTGATACCATTTTGAAGCATAAAAACTAATTTCTTTTGATTATGTACATTAGAAAGTCTTTTAGGATGTAGTGATATTTTCCTTTTTCAAATAAAGTTTTACTAATAAAAATTCTGAAACTTTTTTTTTATCCAATTGTCTACTCTATTGCAACCTCAGGAATTTTAACTAGAATTCATGTACAATATGATGATATAAGTGAAAAATATGTTATGGGTAGTTGATTTTTTTTCCAAAAAATTTTAATTTGGTGGTTATTATTTTTGAATTCACACTAGTAACCTGTAGTTAGAGTTGTTTAATGTAAAGATTATTTTGGAGCATAAAAATCGCAATTTCCCTCGTGGATTTTTAATCAATCAGAATTTAGTATACTTGTACTTTATTGTACTCCCGTAATCGAAGATTTGCAAATGGGGGCATACAGTTTTGGTCTGTTCGTCTGCTTGTCAGCAAAACTTTTAACATTGGCCATAACTTTTGAATGGTTGGTGCTAGGGCTTTCTTATTTCATATGTGCATTTCTTGTGACGAGACTTTTCTCTGGGTACCAACATTTCTGACCTCTTAACCTTGGAGTTTGACCTACTTTAGCAAAACTTTACCTTGGCCATAACTTTTGAATTGTGGGTACTAGGGCTTTTCATATTTCACATGTATATACCTTGTGACAAGACCTTTCTTAAGGTACCAACACTTCTGACCTCTTGACATTGGAATTTGACCTACTTTTGAATAAAACGTCACCTTAGCCATAACTTTTAATCCTTAATGCTAAGTCTGTCGTCCTTCATAAGTGTACTCCCTGTGAAAATACCTTTCTTATGGTACTGACTTTTCTGGTCTTATGATTTTGAAATATGACCTACTCTTGAAAAAAAATCTTCAACTTTGGCCACAACTTCTAAATGATTGGTGCTAGAGCATTCATGAAATATGTATTCCTTGTGACAAGACCTTAATTAGTGTACGCACATCTTTGACCTCATGAAAGTTTTTTCTTTAGAACTATTAGCTGAAGTCAGTAATTGGAGAGAAGTTGGTACTACATGTATTACATCAACAAGTGTTAAAGCTGCTTAAACTGCTTCAATGTAAGTGAATGAGATGAAAAACCATGGAGATGTTCCTTGTTGTATAAAATAGAAGGTAGCACAATTTCAACAACTGTCATGGTTATATTAAGACAAAACCATGATACATACTGGCAATGTTATTCATGACCTTTTGCTGTGAATCCTAATTATCTCAGAAAGAAAAATCCTTCTCTGAATGTTTAATCAATGATTACAGACACCCCACCCCCAATAAAAATACAACACAGATTTTTTTTTTTGAAATGTACTTATTTTTTATTAAATAAAATATCATGTATACTTTGTCCTATCTACTTCAGGCAATTATATCATTCCTCACCTCGATCAAAGTGAGTGATATATGTATATATATACAAATGGTTTTGTTTTATAAACAAGAGTATAAGAATGTTAGTTCAGTATCCAACTGTATACTAGTATTTCACACCATAATAGAGTATCAACATTATATAGATGAGCTCCTTGTATAATACATGGTTTTTATTTTATATTAAATGTAGTTTTACGACTATTTCAATTTCACACAACATTCATACAAACATTCATTCTCGTTAGATCCAAAATGTGTGTAATGCATAGCCATCAAATACTAATATAAAACTCAGGTATTGCACTTGGTGTGTATAAAAAGAAAAACAAAGTATTTAATCAAGTCAATGAATGCATAAGATTAAAATGTACGTCAACAATAAGTTTACCAGTTTGCAACAAAACTAAGAAATGATCAAAAAAAAAAAAAACCAAACAAACAAACAAAAAAAAAAACTACACATGAATAAAACTAACATATCAAGGATATAATCAATCTGCAAAAGGTCTCAGGTCATATCACTGAAGCATTCCATTCATTAAATCACCATCACTTCATTAATACTTTGAAACTTGCCATATTTAAATGTTGCACAAAATTGCAGACTAAAAACTTCCACTCATATTTTGGCTAGGAAATTTTAATTTTCAAATTTACAAATGAAAGACTTAAGCAAATGGCCTGATTACTAAAAAAACCACAACATACTCACATTTTATCGCATTTCATCAACATTTGTGTATTTATATATAATAATGGTCACCTTTTACTTTGCATAGACAAAATTTTTATACAATGGTGACAACTAAGAAGTACTGAATACTAATAAAGGTTTTGATCTCTGGAGGTAAAGTGAAGAAGACATAATTTACAAGGGTGGCTGGAACCTAAACTGTCAAAAAAGTCTGTATGTCTTTATAAAACATTCTATGCCACAGTTGCTCAGAAAAATGTTACACAATAATTTCACACAATGCAGGGTTTGAGGTCTGCGCACTTTCTCTTTGACTAGTACTTGTAAATACTTTACATTTTAAAAAATACATTTACTGAAAAAAGGTAATCTATCTATAAAAGGATAATCTATCTATCAAATACATACACTTAAATCACAATTTAAAAAAAATGATAACAATCAATCTTGAACACAGTATGAGCAATTTCTTTAAAATATATAACAAGTAATGAAACATGAATAAATAACCAAGGTCTCTACATTACTTATGGAAGATGTCAATGATGTTTTTTTTTTAAGTATTGCACTTTGACACAGATTAAGTATTAGTCTACACAGTGGGGATAAATGCCCAGGTAGGGGGTCAGGGTCAGACAAAGGCTGGTCCCGATGACGAGGGTCCCTCCATTGTTGTGATCACATGACCTAGTTTGGCAGGAAGTTGCTGGGCTGAAGATGTTTGATCCTCCTCCAGACTTTCATTGATCTGAAAAAAAAGTCAAAGTGATCAATGAAATAGAACAAAAGTGTACCATAAGGCTTTGGATTATGAATCAATTACAAAACTAAAGTTGGTGAAGAAACCAAAATGCCCTTACTGCATTGCTGTACTCATGTACGTAGTTGTAGAGTTCGTGGAGAGCATTTTCTTTAGTGAAGCGGTCAGTTGCCATCTGTAAATAACATTCAGGCATGAAGATATGCATTGTTTGCTCAGTTCAAAATAGTAATCCCACGACATAGAATTCATCAAAATGTTACAAAATAAATATTTTCCACTGAAAATGCTTCAAAGTATCCTTGTTTTCAGAGATTTAAATGTTTGTACAGCTGTATAACGAGAACTATAAATCTCCACAGGTTGTGTAGACAATACGTACCCTGGAGACTTCATTGAGATAGGCACTTAAGTCCTGGTCACTGACTGCTGGCATGGCCCTGATGTCCTCGAAGTACTTCTCCACCAAACACTTGTACTGGGGGATATCTTTGGCAAATAAAAGCTTGTTGGAAGGAGAATCCTGGAAAATCATAAGGTACAAATACCAACAATTGTAAATTATACAATATCGTTTGTACTAAAAGTCATGGTATGGATACAGTATAAATATTTGTTAATTTTTAGACATCAGTCATACCTACTGAAAAATTGATAAGGATCAAATCAAATAATAAAATTATAAAAACAGCAGTCTTTGATTGTAAATTTCTAGAAAAAACATTTAAATTCCTGTTTACACAGGGAAAATCTTATTCATGTAGTGTCAGAGAATGTGGTATACCTTTCCTAGATTTTGGTCGGAGGTTGAGCAACTATCCATAAAGGCTTGAGCAACAACAGAGAGACACGAGTCTACGATGTTGGTTTTGTTGATGTCATACACAAACTCAGGGTTCTTGATAATGTTCACCCAAAATCTCAGTGGAACACTGAGGAGAAAAAAAAGCATTGGCCATCACTTTTGATGAAGTAACAAAACATTCAGTATGCCATTAAGAATGAAACAATTAAGAAAGAAAAAAACATTATGTACTTTCAAATATTTTGGACTTTGAGCATGAAATTAATTTTTTTATTTTATTATGGTTTTTCAAAATTTCCAAAATACCATTAAGACAAAATCATTAAGCTTTATATTGGTGACTTCAGTATGGTTACCTGTTACACTTCCAGTTATAGACAACTTCAGGTTCTACGTTGTTTTTTTCGGCAGCCTCATCCAGGAAGTCAAACAGCGACTTAATGACAGGAGGAATGCTCTCATTGGCTGTCAGGATAATGGTGAAGAAATCATCAATGTACTTCTTCAGTGTGCCCTAAACATAAAATTACAACTTAGAAGTCATAATCCTAAAAACAATACTACAACATATGATTCATACAGTTATAACTAGGGAAGATGAAACAAATATTCCAAAGTTTTGCTTCTCTAGGATTCTCCACATGAAATCTTGGTATTATAGTTTATTACATACTTTTGAAAAAATCTTTGTATTCGAAAACATTTTATTTGTAGTTGTGGGCAGGTAAAAGTCATGAGCATGTTTAATGTTTAATGAAGATCTAACAGTGAGCTATCCATTACACTGTACTACAGATGCTTTACCTTGGTGGCTAGTAGGCGAGTAAGGAACACCTCCGAGCTGATTTTAATCCCTGTGTTGAAATCGTCCTGTTTGACCAGGTGCCAGTATTTACAGCCAACTTCGCTCTCTGTCCGTGTGATTGGCTGAGCTTCTCTGTTCACTGTGAAAGCAAATCCTGAGGAATGTAAAGACCCTAAAAAACACCAACATTGAAATAGACAATACACCCTAAAACACTAACACTAAAATAGACAACACACCCTAAAACACTAACATTAAAATAGACAATACAACCTGAGAACAATAATAAAATATAGACACCCTAAAACACTCATACTAAAATAGACAGTACACCCTAAAACATTAATACTAAAATAGACAACACACTCTGTGAACAATAATAAAATATAGACAATACACCCTAAAACATTAATACTAAAATAGACAATACATCCTGAGAACACTAATAAAATATAGGCAAAACACCCTAAAACACTAAAACCAAAATAGACAATACACCCTAAAACACTAAAATAAATAATACACCCTAAAACATTAATACTAAAATAGACAATACACCCTTCGAACACTTATACTAAACAGACAATACATCCCTAACCACCAACACTAAATAGACATTCACCTTAAGAATACTAACACTAAAACAGACAAAACACACCCAAGAAACACTAATACTGAAATATACAATACATCCATAAACCCTAATACATGTACATGTACTAAAAAGACAATACTGACCCTAAGAACACTTACACAAAAATAGACAATACACACTGAAACAAGAGGCCCAGGGGCCACATCGCTCACTTAAGCATATGGCTAGAAAAAAGCAGAGATCAGTTCAGTCTTGAAAGGTTGAAAAGTTTAAATATAAAAGTGGGGGAGTGGGGGGGGGGGGTGGTCATGAATTGAACAAATTTGAATCTACATTATCTGAGGATGCTTCCATTTAAATATGACCAATCATGGCTTTGCTGTTCTTGAGAAGAAGATTTTTCCTATATATTCATATGTAAAACTTTGATCGCCCATTGTGGCCCCACCCGACCCCCAGGGGTCATGAGTTGAACAAATTTAAATGTACACTATCTGAGGATGCTTCCATGTAAATATCACCAATCATGGCTTTGCTGTTCTTGAGAAGAAGATTTTTAAAGATTTTTCCTATATATTCCTATGTAAAACTTTGATTGCCCATTGTGGCCCCACCCTACCCCTGGGGGTCATGATTTGAACAAACTTGAATCTACACTACCAGAGGATGCTACCATATAAATATGACCAATCATGGCTTTGCTGTTCTTGAGAAGAAGATTTTTAAAGATTTTTTTTCTATATATTCCTATGTAAAACTTTGATCGCCCATTGTGGCCCCACCCGACCCCCGGGGGTCATGATTTGAACAGACTTGAATCTACACTATCTGAGGATGCTACCATATAAATATGACCAGTCATGGCTTTGCTGTTCTTGAGAAGAAGATTTTTAAAGATTTTTTTCTATATATTCCTATGTAAAACTTTGATCGCCCATTGTGGCCCCACCCGACCCCCAGGGGTCATGAGTTGAACAAATTTAAATGTACACTATCTGAGGATGCTTCCATGTAAATATGACCAATCATGGCTTTGCTGTTCTTGAGAAGAAGATTTTTAAAGATTTTTCCTATATATTCCTATGTCAAACTTTGATCGCCCATTGTGGCCCCACCCGACCCCCGGGGATCACGATTTGAACAAACTTGAATCTACACTATCTGAGGATGCTACCATATAAATATGACCAATCATGGCTTTGCTGTTCTTGAGAAGTAGATTTTTAAAGATTTTTCCTATATATTCATATGTAAAACTTTGATCGGGCATTGTGGCTCCACCCGACCTCCAGGGGTCATGATTTGAACAAACTTGAATCTACACTACCTGAGGATGCTTCCATGTAAATATGACCAATCATGGCTTTGCTGTTCTTGAGAAGTTTCATATTTTCAAGCACAGTGGTTCTTGAGAAGAAAATTTTTTAATGATGCCATTAATTTTTCACAAATTCTTAATTATCTCCCCTTGGAAGAAGGTGTGGCCCTTCATTTGAACAAACTTGAATCCCCTTTACCCAAGGATACTTTGTGGCAAGTTTGGTTGAAATTGGCCCAGTGGTTCTTGAGAAGAAGATGAAAATGTGAAAAGTTTACAACAACGACAACGACAACGATGACAACGACAACAACGACGACAGACAACGGACAAATTTTGATCAGAAAAGCTCACTTGAGCCTTTGGCTCAGGTGAGCTAAAAACACTAAAACTGAAATAGACAATACTCAACCTAAAAACACTAACACTTAAATAGACATTCACCTCAAGAACAAAACTAAAATAAACAAAGCATGTCCTTAGAACACTAACACTTAAAAGACAATAATACTCTAGAAACACTAATACATCTACTAAAACAGACAAAACACACCCTAAGAACACTGACACTGCAATATACAATACACCTTAAGAACACTTACACTGAAATTGACAATACACACCCTAAGATTACTAATACTGAAATAGACATTACACACCCTAAGATTACTAATACTGAAATAGACAATACACACCCTAAGATTACTAATACTGAAATAGACAATACACACCCTAAGATTACTAATACTGAAATAGACAATACACACCCTAAGATTACTAATACTGAAATAGACAATACACACCCTAAGATTACTAATACTAAAATAGACAATACACGTCCTAAGATTACTAATACTGAAATATACAATACACCTCAAGAACACTTACACTGAAATAGACAATACACACCCTAAGATTACTAATACTGAAATAGACAATACACACCCTAAGATTACTAATACTGAAATATACAATACACCTCAAGAACACTTACACTGAAATAGACAATACACACCCTAAGATTACTAATACTGAAATAGACAATACACACCCTAAGATTACTAATACTGAAATAGACAATACACACCCTAAGATTACTAATACTGAAATAGACAATACACACCCTAAGATTACTAATACTGAAATAGACAATACACACCCTAAGATTACTAATACTGAAATAGACATTACACACCCTAAGATTACTAATACTGAAATAGACAATACACACCCTAAGATTACTAATACTGAAATAGACAATACACACCCTAAGATTACTAATACTGAAATAGACAATACACGCCCTAAGATTACTAATACTGAAATAAACAATACACCACATTACAAGTAATAGTAACACTAAAGTAGACAATACACATATATAAAACTATCTCTCACTAACACACTAATGACAATAACATTCTTTTGGCATACACCTAATAAACACTAATACTAAAAATGACAATACACCCTCCTATCACCAACACTAAAATTTACAGTACACTATTATCACCAACACTGAAGTAGACGAGTGTTATTAGACTAACACTTTTAAAAATTGATAATGTCACCAACATCACCATCACCAACAATGTAATTTACAACACACCAAACACATGACCCTGGAATACACCATCCATGAAATAATAATATGCAAATAGACGATACACCTAGCTGTTATCACTAACAAGACACTTCCTACTAACATATAAATATATTTTGTGGTTTATACAAGACAAATAAGATGACAAATTACAACAGAACTAAAAAAAACTGTATATAAAATGATAAGACCCTCCCTTTCAACACATATAGGCAAACTGTCATAGTAAAAAGACAGGGAACACACACTGTAAGTAGATAATTGTGACTCATCTACTGCAATATAAAACTGTTCCCTTAATTCCCTACTGCAAATATGTCGAATTAACACTCCATCTTAACAATAAGCAATTGCTCTTTTAATTAATTCTGCACTGAGAATAATCAATTTAAAATGACTGACTATTCATACAACCAACATTTTTCAGAAACTGACAGATCTATTGACTGTATAGAAAGCCTGGATTCTCACCATTAGGAGACCTTGGTAGAGTGCGACAGTTCTGATGTTCCAGTAGTGTCATTTCTGCCCCATCCTCCACCTTATAATACTTCAAAGTATTAAACTGCTTCCATCCGTCTATTTTAGGTGTGGAACTATCCTCGTCACACAAGATTTTGCCATGTTTGGTCCACTCTACAAAATATTTCATTCTTTTTTAATTTTTCTGCATTTGGTACTTATGTTACTTAACTATCAACACAGTATCAAAAGTTTTCTACATGTACACTGAGTCAAAGAGTAAGATAACTGCAAATGGAATTTATGTAGCATGTTCAAACCAAGGCTGGGATGATATATTGAGATATCGATAATATCGATTCTGTGTGAGGACGATACGCATATTGATACACAATCATAAAGAAATATCGCCAAAAAAATCTGACTGATGTTTTTCTTTGTTTACTTAACATTTTGGGTTAAATATATATAAAATAAATATGCTAAATATAAATATTAATATGAAATACATAAAAATAAACACCATTTGTGTAAAATAATTTTGTTTTACATCAGATATACAACTTCTTTGAATAAATTATTCTTATTTGTAAAGAAATGTTTTTTTCATTTCAATACAAAAAAAAAGATTTTATAACCAATTAAACATATTGTGATACATATCGTATCGAGGCTCAAATATCGTGATACATATCGATATAGAAAATGTTGTCTCGTCCCAGCTCTAGTTCAAACTTATGTAGATATATTTGTCAGTGAATAAATGCACAAAGACAGTGGTAGAGCAACAAGTAAAAGTATTTAATAAACAAGCTATAAATAACTGACCTAGATCTAGATCAGCGGCACATGGCCGCTGTGTGTATGGAATATTGCGACACATTGTGTCGATCATTTTCTCTTTGGCTTGGGTGATAGTATCACAGTCTAAAACTCGGCATTTAGTGACTGGTTTGTCTTTATACTCCACCAGTAGTGTCTGAAAAAAAAAAATTAGTATACACTTATTTACTGGCTATGAGGACAATAGCAAGTTTATCGTTCCCCAAGACAGCAACTATTTCCCGAGGCGCAGCCGAGGGAAATAGTTGCTGTCGAGGGGAACGATAAACTTGCTATTGTCCTCATAGCCAGTAAATAAGTGTTTTATTATACCGAAGCAGTTTTTACTTGTGTTACGTCACAATCTGTATAAAACCAGAAGAGTTCCGAGATGAAAAGCGAGGGAAACAGAATGCTGCCGGTGAGTAGTTTAATAACTATTTCACCATGGGCAAATAGCACAAAAACTATTCCACGCTAGGGGCTGTTTGGAAAAAATATCATGTTTATTCGTAATATTTTTATATAGAAAAAATTCACAGAGGTATAATAATTGAAAATATCAAACATATACTTAAAATATCCCTATCATTAGGTGCAACTTAAAGTTTTAATAAATGAAATTCCTAAACAATATCACCAATTCTTAATGTTTTGAAAGTCCCTTCAAACAAGCACACTTATATACTCTAGCCATTTCTCTGTCATAGATACTTATGAGCACACTATACTCTAGCTGTTTCTCTGTGGTAGATACTTACAAGCACACTATACTCTAGACATTTCTCTGTCATAGATACTTATGAGCACACTATACTCTAGCCATTTCTCTGTCATAGATACTTATGAGCACACTATACTCTAGCCATTTCTCTGTCATAGATACTTACGAGCACACTATACTCTAGCTGTTTCTCTGTCATAGATACTTCGGAGCACACTATACTCTAGCTGTTTCTCTGTCATAGATACTTACGAGCACACTATACTCTAGCTGTTCCTCTGTCTATAGATACTTATGAGCACACTATACTCTAGCTGTTTCTCTGTGTGTAGATACTTACGAGCACACTATACTCTAGCTGTTCCTCTGTCTGTAGATACTTATGACACTATACACATACTTACACACTATATTCTTACCCTTCCTCTGTAGATACTTACGAGCACACTATACTCTTACTGTTCCTCTGTAGATACTTATGAGCACACTATACTCTAGCTGTTTCTCTGTAGATACTTACGAGCACACTATACTCTAGCTGTTTCTCTGTCATAGATACTTACGAGCACACTATACTCTAGCTGTTTCATTGTAGATACTTACGAGCACACTATACTCTAGCTGTTTCAGTGTAGATACTTACGAGCACACTATACTCTAGCTGTTTCTCTGTAGATATTTACGAGCACACTATACTCTGTTTCTCTGTAGATACTTACGAGCACACTATACTCTAGCTGTTTCTCTGTGTGTAGATACTTACGAGCACACTATACTCTAGCTGTTTCTCTGTGTGTAGATACATACGAGCACACTATACTCTAGCTGTTTCTCTGTGTGTAGATACTTACGAGCACACTATACTCTAGCTGTTTCTCTGTAGATACTTACGAGCACACTATATTCTAGCTGTTTCTCTGTTCGTAGGAGTCTGTCCTCTGATAAGGAGTAGCGTGCCTCACATGTGATGCAGTCCACGGGGCCTTTGTCTACTTGGAACTTAATGGACTGATACAGAGTATAAAGGGAGGCTCCCGCTTCCTCCCGGAGGTACCGATACATACACAGAGACAGCCAGTTAGCTAACAGCTTCTCCACTACTGACTCTGTCCTGTAACATACATTAATCTGACTGTGATTCTGTATCTTTGATGACAAAGACACATCAAGGCGTAATATGTCAATAGCATTTCATATTCTCAAAGTTGTATATTTTTAATAACATCTTTTAAGTGAAAGAAAATCTCCTGAGCATGTCTTTGGTTGAAATTGAAGAGCGATCAAGATTTAAATGTTTATACAGTGCCCAATTTATTTGTTTTGTAAAAAATTCCTGTAAGAACACGGTAAGAGCTATTTACATGTAGCCACATTTAACACATCACAGATTTGCATACTCAAGAAAGCTAAAATCCACAATTTTTGGCAACTTGCATTCTGTTTTTTTTTTTGTGGACATTTGCTATCAAGGTTTATGCCTAATTTAATTTTGTACATATTTGTACATATGATCAACAGAAAAAAGCACACCTCCTCAACATGATCTTTGTTCTTTTGGTCTCTATGCTTTTTTCTATCAGGTCATTTAGTAAAGCCTTCAAGATTCTACAAAAGAAGAAGCATATTTTCTGAATAAACATCAAAAACAATTATTTGTAGCAATTATTTTAAAATCATCAGGCAAAAAACAAATCATCTACATGTATAAGCTAAGAGAGATTACTCTCCATCAGACACATAATTATTTCTATCTCCAATAATGACTTGCCTTTAATTTTAAAAATATTGCTTGAATCTCATATTTATTTCTTTTTTTCTGTTGTCATGATTATAGAAAAATTCTGTCTTCTTTTGATGCAGGGGATATCATTCTCTTTATAAGATATATGATATTCATTCAGAAGTAACTAATTTTGTCTTTAAGCAAAAAAAGTTATAGTACTCACTGTGTTATATACTCCATGTTGTTCTGGAAGAGTATCATCAACAGAGAAGCCACATTGGCTCTGAAAATCCAGAGAAACAAAATTATTTATGTACCCTTAGATGAAGTTCTATTTTAGAAACCAATAATACATACAATCCTCTTATACATGTATATACTGTTTGAATTTTAGCACTGCAAGGAATTCAGATCCAATAAAAGGTTCCTGTTAACACAAGAAAAATGTAACCCCAACACACATTAACAGAAAAAATAAATTCATCTCACTTTCATTAAGTGTCAAAAATACTGCATAAAAATTTTTACAGGTAACAAAAACGCATAACCAATTATAATTGTAATCCAGTCCCACCTGTCTCTGATGCTGAATGTCTTCTGCTTCTCCAGCGTCCTTATAAACATTAACAGGAAGTGTTTGTTGTTTAGCAGCTGTCGGAAGTGAGAGATGGCAACGTCTGGATGTCTATCCGCATTCCCATTTCTCTGCTTAAAATGTCAAACATGTTAAAGTGGCTGTGCAAGGAGTGTCACTCAGACTTCAATGTGAAAGCTGGTCACATACCATAAATTATTAAAACATTTGAGCTCAATATATCTAGCATTTTTAATGCAGTGTAGCAGTACAATTAACTCCCCCTTACAATTCCTCATGATCAGACATCTCCAGGTAGTTGCTATTTACCTGAGGAGGCTGTAGTATGATATGATCCACCATCCCCGGAAACAGGACCCTAAATGTGTACTCCTCATAATCGTAGTACGGCATCTTACTGCCCTCCAGGTCTGTTGTCAGGTCAGTCATGTCTGTCTGTAATTCCGCAAACGCTAGAAAACAGGAAAGAGACACATAAAAAATACACTGCTGAAAGAGACACATAAAATATACACTGCTTCAATTTGATTGAAAAAATGTAAATGAAATAATTGAAGTTTGATAGGAAAAATAAGATGAAGGGAATAAAGATAATATGACTTTGCACAACAAATAAAGTGATGCTGCAAACACTTATATAAAAGTTAAAATAAAAATAATAAATAACAATCTAGTTTTGTATATATAACATACACCTGACCCTGACCCACCTTGTTTACATTCGTTTCTGACAGTACTCTCTAGGTTATCCAGCTGTAGCTGTATATTTTTGTATTCACGTTCAGCGTTCTTCTGTTGCTTGCGGAATCTCCAACAAACCACTAAAACAATGATGACGATGACCCCCGCAGCTCCCAGCAGGGCGGGGACAATGTACACCATCAGGTTCTCCTGTTCTGATTCTCGGTACTTAAGGAACCCCACCATTTTCTCAAGGTTTCCAAACTTGACCTAAAATAATAAAGAAGTGTCAAAAAGCCTTCAAAATGTCTAAGTTTACATAAAACAGAATGCTGTTGTTAATAAAAATTTCTGTATATCTTTTATATTTTTTCAATCAAACTGACAGCAAGTACCATGAAACTTTAATTAATAATATACTAACTAAATATATATCATTGGAGCCAATATATCTTGGAATAAAGTAAGTCACCTGCTGTGATATAAATAATATTCCAAGAAGTTTTTTCTTCTTACAATTTTTCCTTAAAATATCCAAGTAATTTAATATCTGGTATGTCCCAACACATGAAATACTGAAGCAGTCTATGCAAATTTACCCTTAAGGACTTATATGACAGCAAAACCTTATACTTACAAATACACGTGGAATTCCGTCTGATCGCTGACTTCCGTCATTTCGTAGAGCAGGCTGATCAGTGGGAGGGTTACAGTATATAGCCTCCTCATTGACACTGGTCACATTACATCGCCCCGCCCCCACAAACACCTCCACATCCTCCTTTGTGGCTGCAGCATTTAATCGTTTTCCCTAAAAATAAAAACCAACAATAATCTTACATGTATCTAGGAACAAAAGTCTCGATAGTAATACATGTAGTAAAAAAGCCCAATCTAGTGGCAAGATTAACTAAGATTATAAAATTATAGAGATTATACAGTCATACAGATTATACAGAGAGGCAAAAAAAGATAAAGACTATCTGTAATCTCTGTTTTACAAACCTTGATTTCCAATACAATCCCTTGGGTGTACGCTTTCATCTTGTCATTCTCTTCAAAGTCTAAAATTACAGGGTCTGGTTCATAGTACAGTGTTGATATAACATTGGGGAAATATGTCTTAAGATCCTGCACTGAGGGCACATTGTCCATATAGAAACCCAGCTGTACTGAGTTCGCCTGGGAATTTCTTCTGGCTCGTTTTAATACTGGCTTCATTTGAATCATCTGTAATATTGTACTCTTCTCAGTTCCATTGTCTGGCTGGTCCTCCAAATCAGTTTCAACAGCCACTGGTGTTGTCCGAGTCCTGCTCTCCGGCGTCCAACAAAAAATGGTTGTTTCATTCTTGATACTACAAGACTGGAAAGAAGAATTCTCAATATTTGTTTTTACTTTTACGTGTATTTTAAATGATTACTTCACCTGGATACTTAAAATAAAAAAGAAAAATTCCTCTAACCTCATTTTTGGAGTATGTTCCAACATCGTAAATAACGAACATATATGCATTGTCTATGGCATTAAAGTTAGTCCCATTGATCATCAATTTTCTTCCTCCACTATAACAAAGAGTGAAAATTTACCTGTCACTCTTAACTACATAGAAGTAGTAAATTTGTGAAAATAATTTCGGCAGTTAGGGGTCAGCAATTTTTAAATATGAATATGGGCAGATAACAGTAATAATTGTGAATGTTCATAAACATGAATATGATTGTTTCTGCCTGTCTGTTTAACTTTGATCATCCATTGCTGTAGACATTTTAACCTTTCTAGTTAAAAAAGTCATTTTTCTGACTTATTCTCCTTGATAAATACATATTCCCTGTATATGCATGCAAGTAATATCAGTTACTGCTAGATCATTCCCCAGTCACACCCCTTACCTTTCAAAGGAGAAAATAGGAACTGGATAAATATTCTGAACAGTAGGGTCCTCCACATAGGAGAAATTACTGGTCGTGGTATCCACAGGGTTGCCATCAATATGGACTGAGACATTAGCCACACCAGTACTTCCAGCAGGAACAATGCAGGAAATGACAGTCATATTTTTACTGTAAAAACACAACAAAATGTTAAATACATTGTTTACTTTAACCAAAACTCTCCTAATGGAACTAAACAGGGGCAACAGGGCAATAAACTTTAATCTAGAGGTACTGTGACCAAGCTCACAAAATTATACCCCCTTACAATTTTTTAAGAGTACTGCATCCAACGTTTCTTTCTGACAAAGTTATGGATCAGAATCAAATTATGCTCTTTTTCACGTGACCTTGAACTTGCCAAAATGACCTGGGTCAAGGTTATGACATGTATACCCTCAGCTCATTAGTGTTCTTTGTGAGAAGTATCTCTTTTAATATTTATCCATTAGACAGAAATTATACATTTTCCTGAACTTGCTCAAATGACCTTTGGTAAAGGTCATGACATCCTTAGGTCATGAGTAATCTTTGCTTCTCCATTTCAAGATTTGGCCTAGACAGGCACTACACAATAACATTTATACAATTATGTATCCTGTTGATTTCTGAATTTGTACCAAATTTTATCAAAATGAAATCAAAATTGTTGGAGGAAAAGCATTTCCATAGTTCTTTTTTTTTTTTTTTTTTTTTTTTTTTTTTTTTTTTTTTTTACACATCTTCTTTTCTTGGTACCTATAGTGTTGTTGTGTGCCAAATTCATTGAAATCAGTCCAAAATTGTGGGAGGAGAAGTGTAAATTTGGTTAGTGATAAATTATTTAAAAACAAACAGATAGAAGATAGACACTTTATTATCACATGTTGACCAGTAGAACTGAAAAGTCAACAAAAATTAACCTTAGAGGTTTTAGGATAACATGGCATATTTTGTCTGACAGAGCAATTCTAGCTAACATAGCATAAAATAAATAATTAATGAATTCGTTAAATTTTTGTAAGCATTTAATGCCATAGGTATGACCGAATGATGAAGAAAAGAAATGGAAAAACAAATTTGAATGCTTGCCTTTTAACCAAGCATGTTTCATTGTTGATGGTTACTTTAGGGCCATTCCCTATGTTGAGGTTACCTCCCCTTAGGTGCACAATTCTGCCACCAGACTGCGCTGCAAATTTAGGTTCAATTCCAGTAATCGTTGGAGTCTGTTCAAAATTCATAAGTCACAAACTAACTGCACAATCATACATAAAATCAAAAGTCATCAAGGAAATTTTTTTCCTAATACCCAAATGGTGAGGTTTAGTGTTTACCTTGTAGGAGTAGATCCATTTCCGTAGCGTGACCCCCAGTATTTTGATAGGACCACTTCCCTCACCACTCCTTCCCCCCGTCACACAGCGGATACTGATAAAGAAATGATCAAACCACCACATTACACTCTCTTTAAAACTTCAGTTTTCAGAAATCAGAGTCTTCATTACAGAGTCAATCATTTAACACAGTAAAAATCTTTAATAACTGATTTTTTAATCATGTAACAATTGTAAGAATTTGTTAAAATAATAAGTATTTATTCACAAAATTGTTTTTTAAGGAAATATATGCAAGGAAGAATCATTCTCTCCACATCCTCAATTTAAAAAAAATCATCAACTAACCTTTTGGATGGCTTGTAATCCTCTCTTTTTGCTGTTGTGTTACAAGCAATGCCCGCGATGGTGACATTGTTCTCAATATCGGCAAATTTAATACCGAGATTAGACCCAGTAATTGTGACAACTGTACCCCCCAAGAAATGACCAGTATTGGGTGATAACTGTAAAAAAAAAAAGTACACAAATTAATCACATTCTGAGCAATAATACAAAAGTGAAGATATTCACATTAATAAAACTACCAATCTACACTGAAATTAAACAGTTAAAATCTTAAAAATAAAATCTTTTGTTTTGAGACAGTCACTTCCAAATCTTGTAAGTTCCCAAATTTATAAACACTATCCAAAAACCAGAAGTCTCTTATGAGACTGTAGCTCTACTGGTCTGTACATATACATGTAACAAAGAAAACATAGCACTTGGATTTGAAACTTTGCAACATGCAGCAATAAATAGAATTATGTATCTTAATATAGTTTACTTGCGTGCCAAGTTAAATTGAAATCAGATCAAAACTGTAGGAGGAGTAGCATTTTAAAAGAAATTCACAGAAATTTCTATTTTTAGTAACCATGGCAACATCGTTCATCCAAATCAAAAACTGATGCTCTGAATTATGTATCTTAGTGTAGTCTACTTGTGTGACAAGTTATATTGAAATCAGATCAAAACTGTAGGAGGAGTAGCGTTTTAAAGAAATTTCACAGAAATTTCTATTTTTAGTAACCATAGCAACACTGCTCATCAAAATCAAAAACAGATGCACTAAATTATGTATCTTAGTGTAGTCTACTTGTATGCCAAAACATATTGAAATCAGACCAAAATTGTGGGAGGAGTAGCATTTTAAAGGAATTTCACAGAAATTTCTATTTTTTGTAACCATGGCAACATCGTTCATGGAAGTCAAAAACTGATGCACTAAATTGTGTATCTTAGTGTAGTCTACTTATGTGCCAAGTTGTACTGAAATCAGACCAAAACTGTAGGAGGAGTAGCGTTTTAAAGGAATTTCACAGAAATTTCTATTTTTAGTAACCATGGCAACACCGCTCATCCAAATCAAAAACCGATGCACTAAATTATGTATCTTAGTGTAATCTACTTGTGTGCCAAGTTATATTGAAATCAGACCAAAACTGTAGGAGGAGTAGCGTTTTAAAGGAATTTCACAGAAATTTCTATTTTTAGTAACCATGGCAACACCGCTCATCCAAATCAAAAACCGATGCACTAAATTATGTATCTTAGTGTAGTCTACTTGTGTGACAAGTTATATTGAAATCAGATCAAAACTGTAGGAGGAGTAGCATTTTAAAGGAATTTTGCAGAAATTTCTATTTTTAGTAACCATGGCAACACCGTTCATCGAAATCAAAAACCAATGCACTAAATTATGTATCTTAGCATAGTCTACTTGTGTGCCAAGTTAGATTGAAATCAGACCAAAACTGTAGGAGGAGTAGCATTTTGAAAAATTGTTTACAGACAGACGGACAGACAGACAGACAGACGGACGGACGCCGGACACCTTACTATCGCATAAGCTCTTCTGGTCTCTGACCAGTAGAGCTAATGAAATTAAAAGTAAATTTCTAAACTTCTCAATGCTTAAAAGGTTTTATGAAAATTTTCATCTGTATCTAGATGTTCATGAATAAACTATCATAATAGATAAACATACATGAATTTATCACTTATTCTGTACACAGGGTTATTTGCCCCTTTACACTTCCAAACAATTCTGCATTTTAAATTCAACCAGACACAGTTTTGATAGAGTTCATGCTGTCTTTCTTAAATTTGCCCCATGTTACGAAAATAAACATGAGGCAAAAAATTCCCGTACACAGTACATGTAAGATAATTTCATCTACATGTATTTATTGTAAAAATTTTGCATAAATTAAAACTAGAGTAATGCTTCCTGCTAAATCAAGAACAAGGACTTCCATTAGATTCCTAAATACCCTTTACCATTGGGGAAAAAGGGTGGGAGATATGGAATATTATTTAGACCCTTAGTCTCAACTTTGTTACAGAAGGTGGAAGGTAACAAGGGATACAAAAAAATGATTGAAAGACAAAAGGTCAAGGTTAATGTTTACCTCACTTTTTACTCATAAAAGTATTTATAATGCCATTTGATTATTTTGTCTAAACATTGCTACAAAGGTGAGTACCTATGACAACCCATTGTGAACTATTTCACAAACAATATGATCAATCAGAATAATATCCAACAGGACATAACTAGAATAATATGGTAGACCTTAATTAGACATAACATGTTGCCACACTTACACTGGTGACATAAGGTTAATAATACACTGCATGTTGCCACACATACACTAGTAACTTTAAGTTAAAATACACTACATATTGCCACACTGACACTTGTGACATAAGGTTAATAATACACTACATGTTGCCACACTTACACTAGTGACATAAGGTTAATAATACACTGCATGTTGCCACACATACACTAGTAACTTTAAGTTAAAATATACTACATATTGCCACACTGACACCTGTGACATAAGGTTAATAATACACTACATGTTGGCACACTTACACTAGTGATATAAGGTTAATAATACACTACATGTTGCCAAACTGACACTGGTGACATTAGGTTAATAATACACTACATGTTGCCACACTTACACTAGTGATATAAGGTTAATAATACACTATATGTTGCCACACTTACACTGGTGATATTAGGTTAATAATACACTACATGTTGCCATACTTACACTGGTGACATTGGGTCCTGGACACATGGATTGAGGACAGCTCTGCTGGCTGTAGATACACTGTCCTCCACACCATTTACAATTCATGGCTGGATGAGTATCTTCCAGATTCTTACAGAAGCTACAATCACCTTTAGCCTGCCCCCTACAGCTGTACAGAGTCACTGAAACGAAGGAAAAGGCTTACAAGTACAGGTATATTAAAACACTCCAAGGTCAACTAAACAAAACCCAAATTAGCCATGCAAATTAAGTTTGTTTACAGTGTATACATTTGTACATTTATTAGATTCTTGATCAGCTGTTAAGCCCCCTTTTTGGCTTTGATTTTCTTCTTCATTATAATGCACCTTAATGTACATCAGGAAACAGGGTTACTGATGGCACACTCTCTTACACATCAGGAAACAGGGTTACTGATGGCACACTCTCTTAAACTTACCTTCTAGTCCATCATTTTCAATGACAAATTTCTGATTGGTCCACAAAACACTCATCTGTGCATCAAACTTTCCACTTGGTATAGCTACATTAATCTAAAAAAAATTAAATTGCAGTAAAGTATAAAAACTACATAATTATCTGTGAAAAAAATATACATGTGTATACATTTTCTATAACACTTAAAGTATGCTGAAAAGACAAAATCTGTGGTTGAATTATTTGGATTTTACTTAAACTCCCCCCCCCCCCCCCCCAGTCCATTATCATCAGTTTGTCACAGTCAATGATTTAATATATTTGATGTACAACATTTTTCTCAACATCCTTTACTATTGAATCAAAATCAAAGCTTTTAAATAGTCTTTATCTTAAATAAAATACTGGCTGTAGAAACCTTTTGGATATCAAAGGTTAACTCTGTGGCCGATTTCCTTCTTCCAGGCACATCTAGGGTTTGAGACAATGGTAGGTAGATCTTTCCACTGTATTCATCCTATCAAAAAAAATCATCTTAAATGAATTGATGCTGAATGCAATAAAGAAGTATTGTTCATGAATACCTGCCACTATAAAACCCCTGTCATTTCCAAAAACAACCAACAGCCGATGGTAAGGGCAAAAATGGGATTCTTCCGGCACCAGTTAGGAGTTTATCAGCCATTGTGTTTGCTGGATTTTGACCTCTTTTTTCATCGGCTCATCAATATTGTGGCCGTCAGGCTATTTAAATTATTTTTTGCATCAGTGGGAAATTTCAATTGAAGCAGTCATTGAAAAGTCCATTGATGAACCCTGTATCATCATCCGACCATCAGCAGACAGTTTGTCAAGTCGGTCAACATTAAGGTATTCAGTTGGCCAACAATATTTAAACTTTTAAAGTTATCAGTGTTCCTAGGAATTTCCTAGAAAATCCTCTGCATAGCTCGATACAAGTGTCATTTTTTTTTTCAGCTGGTGAGATGAAAAAAATCTGGTTGCCCAACCATCGGCTTAAATGTGACTTGGGTATTAGTGTCAGGTGTAAGTCAATGGGTCAAAAGCCATTAGCATACTTGCCAACCTCCAACATGTAAAAATCTGGTCATGACCAGATTTGGAAAGTAAAAAATCTGGTCATAGCGCATAACGACATTCACGACACATTTAGTACCATGATCAAATTAATATATATGTATATATAAGTATTTGTGTATTGAAATTATTTTATTAAAGGCTTTAATTACAATGATAAAATATTTAATATATATTGATTAAATTTACATGTTAAAAGAGCTTTGAAGGTTTCATTATTCAGTATTGACCTGAATTAAGTGTGCAATTTTTTTTAAAGGAAAGTCTTTTCAGAATCTGCATTGCTGATTTGAAGTACATGGAAAGTTTGTGCTAAATTTGAAAGTATTCTCACTTTGGTTTTTGAAGTTATTTTTTCCTAACCCGAATTAATTTAATTAACAAGTGCTATTAAATGTACAGTTATGCCTACACTATCTTCGAACACTTTATTTCAACTAATGAAAGTTGTTTTCCAAGATTCCTTGATATGTACATAAATATCGTTTCTCATTTTCTTGGTTCAATTTGTTCCTGCTGGCCCTGATAACGATCTCTTTCTATCAGAAGCCATTTTAAATTGACTTCAAACTCTGTTTTGTCAAAACAACTCTCAGGTAATTGTTTACGCCTGCACTGATAATTTACTGGTACACGGCCTACTGAACATAGCCATCGGCATTGTTTACGTATACCAGCTTGGGTTTTACTGGAAGTTAAAAGTGCAACCTAATTTACGAACCAAATCCGGAAATCGGGAGATTTTCGGGTTGTTTGGCAAAAATCGGGTGAAAAGCATGACCCACCGGGTCATAAAAAATAATCGGGTTAAGGGTAGAAAAATCGGGTGTAACCCAACGAAATCGGGTGAGTTGGCAACTATGCATTAGCATCTCCAAGTGATGAAAATTGTTACACAGTTTGAATACTTAAAAGGGATTTATCTAATATATCTGAAAGATTTATAGTGTGTGATGATGATTGCATCATGTATAGTAGTTTTGCTAAGTATCAATGTTGAAATACTCAAGCACACTATTTACTTCCATTTCTTGTAAATAAATGATCTAAGCACATACTGGTTCAGGGAAATTCCTTCCTTGGATAATGATTGTTTTGGACTGATCCTGTGGTATAAACAGAAGGCCTGTCTGAGTTTTATCCACCATCGGGCAAAACTGCTTCCCTCTTTTGCCTTCATTACCCTGCAAGACATTAACAAAGCATATATCAGAATATAATTTAAACATTGATTAAATGTCCAAACTTTTGAATTAAAACTATAAAAATCTTGGTTTATATAAATATCAAACTAGAACAGTCCTGAATGGACTGGTACCTCCTGTAAGAGAACTATAAAAACAGTATACTTTAAAATAGTGAAAAAGGAACCTGCCATCTGTATAACATTTATAATAAAAATTTTTGTGGCCTTTATTTTGTTGAAATGTAATTAGCTGATGGCTGTAACACCTGTTTTTGTTATCAGTAACTTTTGTGTTCAGTGTGAAAGTAAAATATGACTTTCAAAAATTCTAGCATTAAAACATATAATTAATACCAAGTTAAGATCTACAGTCATAACAGAACGATTGCAGGGTCTTAAAAATGGGTGAATTACAATTTTTATATTGATAGTCATACAATGTTAGCATACATGTGATAGCAAATATACAGATTGAGATGTAATTAAGTGTATCATCATACAGAGATATAATCAAATGTATCATCATACATGTATATCATAGAGAAGTAATCAGGTGTATCATGATACTTGTATATAATATAGAAGTAATGAAGCATACCAAGATACTTGTATATAATGACCTTGTCAGAAAATACAATCTATCATTAAGTCAAATGCTGATTGACATTTTTCATACTAATTATTAGACCATTATTTATACACTATATTGTCTATGAATTTTTCTGTTATTTCCCAATCATGACAAGGAGCACATGGCAGGTGGGACTGGTCGGCAGGGGATGCTCACTCCTCCATGGCACCTGATCCAACCTCTGATGTTTTAGAGGTCTGTATTTGCTCTACCTCTGATTTGTGTTGTTTAAATGGACTTTTGAGCTTGGATACTGTTCGTCATCTCCAATATTTCATTGTGTATCATACATGAGATATAATCAAATGTATCGTCATACATGTACATCATAGAGAAAAGTAATGAGGTGTACCATGATACATGTATATCACAGAGAAGTAATCAGGTGTATCATTATACATGTATATCACAGAAAAGTAATTACATGTATCATGTTCATGTATATAAAAAAGAAGTAATGAGGTGTATCATAATGATTGTATATCATAGAGAAGTAATCAGATATATCATCAAATGTGTATCAAATAGAGTGTATTGCAAAACATGTATATCATAAAATGCCATAGTACATTTAAGTTCATAGTTAAGAAAGAAAGAAGTCAAACACATGAAATCAGTATTTCCAGTTTGAAAGCAAATTGATACTTTTAAGATACATGTAGTGAGTGAATAAGTCATAGCTGGTGCTCTTTGTAGTAACTAAGCTTTACCTGAAGTAAGTTACAATTACTATTTTCACAATGAAGAAAGCTGAGCCAGTGGTAGCCAATCTCCACTAATGGAAGAAACAAACTGTTCAAAAGATTTCTAAAGATGGCAGGAAACTCAAACCTAGGACCTAGCTACCAAAATAACCTGCATGCAATTCTTATTGAAAATTTTGAACTCAATGTACAAAAAAAAAAAAAAAAAAAAAAAAAAAAAAAATCAGCTTAAATCAAGGTTTGGACTCTGCTTTATATGGAAAATCTTTGAAATTTCACCCAACAGCTAACATAATGTTTTAATTGCAAAGATATAATGTCTCAAATCAATAATTATAGACATCAGAAGCAATTTACAGGTAACTCGGCAAAGAAGACTATTAAAAATAACTTAAGCCAGTATCTGCTAAAATTCTTTGCATCATGTAGTATGCATGTCTTGCTGGTCCCTCCTAGTACTGAGCAACAATAAGCATGGCAGAGAAAAAATTCTAGTTCAGTTATTAATAAGGAGCACATAATGTCATTTAAAACATGTCACATTCTACATATTATGGTAACTTAAAGAGAAATTAATAAGAAAAAAAAATTCATTCTGTTGAAACTTCAGCATCTAGCTGCCAAGAAATAAAATGCATGGTCAAATGGAAGTGAACTGTCACATGTAGAAATGCAGACAAAACAAAAGGCTCTATTGCAAAAAGAAGATTGATAGCTACGTAAAACATCCTCTGTATAGTTGATAACAAAGATATTCTGAGGAATTCATAATTATTATGCATAACCTGTGGGAGCTTACATGTTTTATTTTATCAGTGATGCTTGCGTTCTCAATGGTGAATAATTACATGAAGTGGAAAATAAGACGATGGCTAATTATAGAAACAGATGCAGGCCGTTAGTCTGATAAAGGCAGATCTATATACTATATATAGCAACGTAACTTACAATATATTCTGTGTCGTTTTGTACATAAGTATCCTGAAAATGGTGTCATACATTGTATAATTCTAAAACAGATTTTTTTTTAAATATAAACAGCTCAACTTTATTGTTAAACACAATGGATTATGCCCATTAGAAGATACTCTCATAGTAGCAAATTCTCATTTTTCCTCTGGCATGAGCCTGTCCAAAACTAAAGAAATGGCCTTATTTAAGCACTGAACTCTCTATCTCATTTAATTCTTTAATTGTATATCAGGGCTAAAATTATAGGGTACAAATGTAAATAGACTAAAAAGTTCATAAAAAGAGTGCCATAGCCAATATTAGGGACACAAACATATAATTTTTAAAATGGTTGCAAATCCAAATATTTCTGGGCCATTTCAATATATTTTCTTGTTTCCAATGCACCTTAAAATATTATTTTAGAGACAACATATCATACATACATTTCGACTACTGACTTTCTCCCCAGAACACAGATCAGTGTTGTACAGACACTTGTTTCCTCTGATACACCAGTCACACCAGTAAACATTGTCCACACACCTCGAACAACTGAAAAATTGAGAAAACTAGAAATATGTTCATAGGACATGAATGCCCCTCTGAGGGTATATTAGTAATGCAACATTTTAACACAAATTGAGAAAAGTGAGGTCAAGGTAAAAGGAAAGGTCAAGGTGAAAAAATATTGATGCAGTTGAATAGCTTACATTAGTATGTATCAGCATATGAAGTTTGACACAAATTTAAGAAAAGTGAGGTCAAGAAAAAAAAAAATGAAAGGTCAAGGTAAAAAAAAAATTGTTTATGCAGTTGAAAGGTTACATCGGTATGTATTAGCATATGAAGTTTGATAAAAATATTATGAATGGTTTTAAAACTAAGCTAAACAATAATTAAAGAAAAGTGAGGTCAAGGTCAAAGGAAAGGTCAAAGTCAAAAAATATTGATGCAGTTGAATAGCTCTCATCAGTATGTATCAGCATATGAAGTTTGTTAAAAATATCTTGAATAGTTTCATTAAAACTGAGCTAAACACTAATTTAAGAAAAGTGAGGTCAAGGTCAAAAGAAAGGTCAAGGTCAAAAAATGTTGATGCAGTTGAATAACTTACATCAGTATGTATCAACATATGAAGTTTGATTACACTATCTTGAATGGTATCTTTAAAACTGAGCTAAACACTAATTTAAGAAAAGTGAGGTCAAGGTCAAAAGAAAGGTCAAGTCAAAAAATGTTGATGCAGTTGAATAGCTCTCATCAGTATGTATCAGCATATGAAGTTTGATTACACTATCTTGAATGGTATCTTTAAAACTGAGCTAAACACTAATTTAAGAAAAGTGAGGTCAAGGTCAAAGGAAAGGTCAAGGTAAAAAAATGTTGATGCAGTTGCATAGCTCTCATCAATATCTATCAGCATATGAAGTTTGATAAAAATATCTTGGATAGTTTCTTTGAAACTGAGCTTTGAACAGAGCTAAATGCAAAGTGTGACGGAAGGACAGACGGAAGGATGGAAGACGGACATGACAAACACTATATGCCCCGGCCATATTCATGGCGGGGCATAAAAAATAAATTGTATATTCAAGGCAGCATAAGTACACTGAATACTGTGGAATCTGGCTAGGCCCACATAGTTCACTATCACACCATCCAGCATCAAATAAGGATGATGGCACAATAATCCGATGGCACAATGATAATGAAGTGAGGGTGCGATGATGATGAAGCGACAGTGCAGTAGCACAATTATGATGAAGAGATGGTGCGACAATGTGATGACGATGGTGGGATAACACAACGGAGCTATAGTGAACATTGTTTCATCCTTATTGTACCCTCATCATCGCATTGTTGCGCCACTGCATCATTGTCATTTCACTATCGCTTCAACGTCATCACACCATCATCATTGGATTATCGTGTCATCGCACTATCAACCAAAACCTCAATGGTGCGATGATGCAATACTGAACTACAAGGCCCTACCCAGATTCCATAATATACTTAATTAGAAGAATCTAATTCAACAATAGTATAATTAAAGGTCCCTATTTCACCTGGAGAAGCTGCTACACTTGTAGAGAAGATAAGGTGTTGACACAATAACCTGTCCTGTCTGCACACACTGAATACCCAGACTTATATTAATGTGTCCTACACAAAACAAAAATCAATTCAATAAGAGCATTAAGAAATCATTGGGAAACATGGTTCAAAACTCCTTAAACATTCATGTACAGAAAACACGCACACATAAGAGTGTGCATGATTTTTCAAACTGATAAATGAAACATCATTTTTTTATTCATATATATATATATATATATATATATATATATATATATATATATATATAAGTAAAGATTTTATAATTTGCTGAAGTTTTGTAAAATATGAAGCCTTTAGGATAATGCTGACATCTTGCAAAACAATACATATATCATACGATAATGTGGCTGTGATGCATTTTAATTTCAACCTTTACCCAGAGTACTGCTGAAGGTCAAGCTAAGGTCATCAACATTAGGATTCTGACACTCAATCCCATAACTCTTAAGGTCGGCTGGGGAGATTTTCTGATCCCCACTAGGAAAGCTAAACACACAGTTGTACGTTGTATTGACATCTCTAGGTAGGTTCTTATGGACTGTTAAATACAGCTATAAAAACAAAAAGTAATATGATCTTAAAATGAGTGTTTTGCAGATTTCAAAACTTGTGGTCAGAATGTGCTGCCATTGTTTTATAAATGGTTAGGTTTTCTTTGTTGTTGATGATCACTACAAATAATTATGAACAGAATATTTACAGTGGAGATGCATGTGTGCATGGGTAAGGTAGGGTGGGTGGTTATTTTGATTGTAGTGCATGGTGGGGGATTGAAATCATTTTATTTGATAATGTGATGGTAGGGACTGGATTTCTTTATTATTTACATGTTTTTTAAAGGTAGATAGAGTAATTACATGTAATCCTGCCCCCTGACCACCTTTAATTATAATTTCTCGCGTTATGATAGTATACCGAGAAATAGTTGTCCTAACGACATGTAAACAAATTGTGTGTACTGAAATGGAAGTCTCATTTCATGTATATAGTAACATTTGTATACTGGGTAACAGCCAATGAAATTAGATTTTGGAAATGACGTGTTTGAATAGTTTCTTGTAATGTTAGAGTTCATTTTCTAGTGCACGCTCTACCTGAGCAAGTCTCATTTTAGTATTTTGGAAATTAAAAAAAAAAAAATTTACATATTATACATAGGTTTGTAAGAATGAGTCTGCCATTCATTTTGGTTACCTAATAATTGCTGCAGGTTTCCATAGTTTTTTACACACAATACAAAATTGTGATTTTTTATCTACTATGTTTTTCCTGGCCAGCGAGGGTTTACATTTAACTATAATAGTACTGCTCTGTTTGTTATGAGAAATAAATCCTAGCGTCCTCTTACAATGCACTACAATGCATTCACTGTTGTTGTTGTTTTTTGATTAGTGAAGTGCAGCGTGGACTATCTTCTACATACTAGTATTTAAGAGATTATAATATTTGTGGTGATTCAACTCTTACTGTGATATTCTGTGAGACGTGGGCCATTGGTGGGGAGACATTCAGGATCGCTATACAGCTGTCACTGGGATTTGGACCATTAACCCAGCGAGTAGGTGTAGGATTGTAGCACTCATTTTTCAGTGAGCATCTGCAATTCAAAAATAAACAGATAAATTCAATAGCCCTTATATGCAATAAACAAATTAAGTAATGAAAGAACTGCAATGGAGACAATTGTCACCAAGATCAGCTTTGTTCAACCAAATACAAGGACATGAAAGTAAGTAAATGTGAAAATGTCACACTATTTCAATGAACCAGTCCTAGATGAGACTGCAGCTCCACAACAGTCACCTGAGGATATTATATTACTGTAAAGGATCCATAGAGGTTATAAAATAAAACAAAAACTGGCAGATGAAGATATATTGCCCAAAAGCAAGACAATAGGGTGATCAGGGATGAACAAAATAGTTACTCAGTAATAAATCATAAGTTAGATCAATTTACTTGCTTGCATTTGCCAGTACTAATACACTCCCATTTGTCACAATCACCATACAGACTTGAATGTAATGATATTCCATGAGCAATACATTTGCCTCTCTTGGTCTTTGATGATCATTTAAAGTATAAAGATAAGATATTCTGATCACATTTTTATTTACCTATTACTTTCAAGTCTACCTGACCATTGAAAACCATGAATGTACTTGTTATATATTAAAAATAAATTCTTGTACAATTCTTTTATTCAATTCACCTGTCAATAACATTAATAACAGTGAATAATTATCATAGGTGAATAAGCAAAGGGGAATAACTTCAATCAGTAGAGTACAAAATTCCCTACAAAATCAATAAAGCCCTGCCCAGCACAAGAACACTTGAACAAGGAGTCCTGAATTTCAAAGATCTGATGAAAACACCCTTGCTCATTAAAACTTTATACTTTGCCTCTGAGATGGAGTAGAAAAGATTTTCAAAACATAAGTGCATTTTGATTTCAAAGAAATAATGCATTTCACTATATAATAGAGCCCCCAACCCTACCATCAGAACCTCTAACCCTGGGGCCATGAATTTCACGATTTCTGAAGAGGCATCCTTGCAATTAGTTTGTCTATTAAAAACCCAGGGCAGAGAAGAAGATTTTAAGAGAATTTATGTATTTTTGCTATATGACCAATAGAGCCCCACCCTAACACCAGAAACCCCTTGATTCAGGGGCCATAATTCACAATTTTGGAAGAAGCACCCTTGCTCATCATATTAACCACACAATTAGTTTGTCTATTAAATACCCAAGGGTAGAGAAGAAGATTTCTAAATAATTTATGCATTTTTGATTTATGATCAACAAAGCCACACCCTAACACAAGAATCCCTGATGCTGGGGGAATGAAATACACAATTTTGAAAGAATCAATCTTACTCATCATAACCATACAAAAAGTTTATCTATTAAATACCCAGGGGAGGGAGAAGAAGATTTTTAAAGAATTTACGCACTTTCACTTTATGATCAACAGAGCCCAACCCTAACACCAGAAACCCTGATTCAGGGGACATGAAATTCACAATTTTGGAAGTAGCACCCCTGCTTATCATAACAATGCACTTCATTTGCTTGCCTTATACTCAGGAGCAGAGAAGATTTTCAAAAAAAAAAGGCATTTTTATTACATGATTCATAGAGACACACCCTAACACCAGAACCCCGAAACAGGGGGCATGATTTCACAAGTTTGGAAGAGGCACCCTTGCTTACAATTACATTCACTTAGTTTGTTTTCTAAGTATACATGGGAAGAGAAGAAGCTTTTTAAAGAATGTAAGCATTTTCACTGTATAATCAATAAAGCCTCACCTGAACTCCAGAACCCCTGACCCAGGGGTCATGAATTTCTTAATTTTGGTAGTGCTCAATGCTTATTAACATCATGCCAACAGTTTGACTGTTTGATGTCCAGAAGTAAAAGACTTTTAAAGATAGCATTAATTTTGATGGTCTTAGTCGAACTCTTCAGGCCAAGTGGGGGGGGGGGGGGGGGAGCAAGAACAATTATATTCAAGAATTTTGTTCCCCTTTACCCATAGAAGCTTTATGCCAAAATTGGTTTAAATTGGTTTTTCGTTTCCAAACAAAAAGCTGAAAATATTCAAATGTTAACGCTCGAAGATGAACAAAAACAGATAGCAACTGGTGACATGAATGAGTTAGGTCACCTGAAAAAACCCCGACATGTCCATAAAAGTGACACAGACCTGTGACTCAGGGTGCACCATCCACAGTAGGGATCCCTGCTTGACAGACACTCATTACACGTGGTGTACTGGGAACAGTTCTGTACAGGAATCTTGGCCACCTGAAAATAAGTGATCAGTTTTGGTTAATCATGTTGAAGAGATATAATTCCAAAGATAGCTCAGGGAGGGGATGTAATCTGTGGTGCAGATCTTCACAGGAGTTTGAAGTTTTTTATTTAAAAAAAAGGAACTGGAAAAAAATAGTTCACCATCAACTATAAAGACTTTTTAGTTGAGGGTGGAAAATTTTTTTTACAGTATTTTTTTTATGATAATAACTTCAGATTCCTGTGGTATATATAAAGAAACCTCTTAAGGGAAAACTATGGATACTGTTTATTTTAAAAATACAAACAAGTATCCCTTTCAAAGTTCTGTTTTTATATAATCTTTATTGGTGTCATCCCTTGCATACTGCTCAAAATAACTTTTTCATAAACTTTTAAATTGTCAAAAATGTTTGGGTGAAGAATCGAACATTGACATTGATTTGAAAAGTGGGTCAAAATCTCTTAATCTCATCTTTCTATGTTCCAAGTTTGAAGTCTTGATGTAAGAGTTCTCTGGTCATGGTCAGTATAATACTTTGATGAAGAAGAAAAACCGACACAATCACTCTCTGGTATGAAGTGGACACATGAGATTAGCTTTTTTACAACAAAAATAAAAGTTTGAATTTGAATAATAATTACTGAAAACTATGATACTCTTGAAATATTTTTTGCTTCTAAACAGCATATATTTTTTTAACCAGAAGTCTCTGATGAGACTGTAGCTCTACTGGTCTGTATGTAAAGGAAAAGTAGCACTCGGATTTGAAACTTTGCAACATGCAGCAATAAATAGAATTATGTATCTTAATGTAATCTACTTGTGTGCCAAGTTATACTGAAATCAAACAAAAACTGTAGGAGGAGTAGCAATTTGAAAGTATTTCACAGAAATTTCTATTTAAAGTAACCATGGCAACACCATTCACTGAAATCAAAAACCGATACACACTATTATGTATTGTAGTGTAGTCTAATTGTGTGCCAAATTAGATTGAAATCAGACCAAAACTGTAGCAGGAGTAATGTTTTGAAGGAATTTTACATAAATTTCTATTTTTAGTTACCATGGCAAAACCAATCATCAAAATCAAAAACCAATGCACTAAATTATGTACCTTAGTGTAGTGTATTTGTGTGCCAAGTTATATTTAAATCAGACCAAAACTGTAGGAGGAGTAGCATTTCTAAACAAATTTCACAGTAATTTCTATTTTTAGTAACCATGGCAACATCATTCATCGAAATCAAAAACCGATGCACTAAATTATGTATCTTAGTGTAGTCTACTTGTGTGCCAAGTTATATTGAAATCAGACCAAAACTGTAGGAGGAGTAGCATTTTAAAGAAATTTTACAGAAATTTCTATTTTTAGTAACCATGGCAACACTGTTCATTGTAATCAAAAACCGATGCACTAAATTATGTATCTTAGTGTAGTCTACTTGTGTGCCAAGTTATATTGAAATCAGACCAAAACTGTAGGAGGAGTAGCGTTTTAAAGGAATTTCACAGTAATTTCTATTTTTAGTCACCATGGCAACATCGTTCCTCGAAATCAAAAACCGATGCACTAAATTATGTATCTTAGTGTAGTCTACTTGTGTGCCAAGTTATATTGAAATCAGACCAAAACTGTAGGAGGAGTAGCGTTTTGTTTACAGACAGACGGACAGACAGACAGACAGACGGACGGACGACGAACACCTTACTATCGCATAAGCTCTTCTGGTCTCTGACCAGTAGAGCTAAAAATCAGTTGCCAAATCATTCATTTTCCTTGACTCTTATCCTAAAAGTACATTATAAAACAAATATGTATGAACACAGCATCAAGTTTCTCAACTCCTGTGCATATTTCTGCAACAGCTTTAGACTCTTAGGAATGAATCACCCTATTTAAAAAAAACTTCGGAAGATGCCACTTCTGCATTTGATCCTAATCTTCAATATAACTACATGCATGTTTATAGAACTGCTTTCAAACTGGAAACTTTTGAGTGCTTAGATGAGCTCATTAAAACAAAAGTGTGCACCAAATAGCTTTAGCATACCCAAAACACACAAAAACATAGAGTTTCTCAGAGCCTCTACTCTGATGTTATAAAAACTGCTTTATTTCTCTGGCTGCCTGTCAGAGAAAAGCATTTTAAACTGCAAAAAATTTCAGTTTCTCATCTGACAAAACATTTCAATCTTCCCTGCTAACACTCCACAATGCAGAGCGTTTTCTTTTTTCATGCTATTTCTCAAGTACCGCACAATGACAGATGTTTTCATAACAATTCTAATGCCCCTACTTGTTTATTTGTTTACATGAAGAAAATTCCACATTGACTTGGATTAAGCCCAAATGAACATTTAATACCTCACTTTACCCATAACTATAAGAAAAGTCAAGGTTCAATGAATAATGCTCTCCGTGATAAACCTCATAACAAACTGAGAACATTTCAGTATTTTTACATCTTGATCTATTGTGCCATTCAGGGTGGAGGCTGTTTATCTTAGATTTTATCTTTGAATTCAGATCAAAAATATGTGCTACTGCAGTTACCAGATTACTAAAAAAAATCTTGATGATAAACTGCAGACATTTTGTTGAGAGAGTCAGTACCCTGTCAGTCAGGTGCTTGATCTTACCTTCCTGTCACTCATGGCGTACAGATACATCTGGGAATTGTCAAACACCATATCCTGGCTGATGGCATGACCCTCGTCCACAGTAATGGCCGAATCATACAACTCTCCCTTGCTGTCTGTCTCCAGGAAAACCTAAGGAACAAATTCATCATCAGTCTTTTTAACGAGTACTTAGAAATTGGTATGAGTAAACAAAGCATCAAGTCTATTGGGAACAGATTCTGTAACATACATGCTGATATAAGTATTTTATAACCATGAAAATGTCAAGTTAACTGGAGTCAGAGGAGTGACAGAAAAAACATGCATTGAAAAGTACAAGGGACAAGTTAAAAGAAGGGTGTAAACTGTGATGGTTTTACTCATTTTCTTACGATTTTATACCCCTCTGAGATACCCTTCCTTCAAAATTAGTTTTTTGATATGCCCTGTGATGATTTTATTATCTTTCTGATTTTGGGTGTGATAATTACATTACCTTTCAATTTCTGAGCTGCCCTGTGATAAATGCATTACCTTTGTAATTTGCCCTATGAATGATTACATTACAATGTTTCCTTCTGATTTGCCCTGTGATAATAATAACACCTTTCTGAGTTGCCTTATGATCATGGTAACATTACCTGCATGATTTGCCCTGTAATTAATGTGTTACCTTTCGGATTTGCCCTGTAGAGCTCCCAATGAATGCCACTGTGAATTCTGTGGTGATAGTCAAAGCCAAGGAAACAAAACTATGGGGTTCATGTGAAGCTGGAAACTGGACAACTGGGGCAGCAAGTACAGGTGTTTTTCCAGCAATAATCAGATTAAGAGCACTTGAACACAGCAACTCCTCATCAGTAAATAAGTTCTACAGTATTTTATACAAGAATTATTAGTCATTCATTTGAAATGCAATGGACAAAATCTATATACATATGTGACCTTCTTTATCCAATCTTTGTGAAAATAACATTTACATATCAAGATTAACAAAGCACACAACAAGTAGAGAAAATTCATCCCCTAAAACTTTTTTTTTCACATAAGGAGATATCGATTACAGTTGTTTAATATATTATGCTATTACATAATGAATTTCAACTTTTTCTCTTACACTTTAACAAAAGTTAATTACCTCTGTTCAATATGATTTGATCAAAGCTACAAATCAGAGGTTTCTCTATCAATACATGTTTCAGTAATTTTCTGAGAAGAAAAAATAAATATGATGTCACTTAAGTGATGTGTCTGATGTCATAATTAAATACTGCACAAAACGGTATTGTAGTGGTTTGGAGGGTTGATCTTGCATTTAAGTCGTACAGTGTATACCCACATTCTGTTGATACGATTGTTCTGTAAATTGATTGGGCCAAAATAAAAAATACCTTTGTTTCCCCTAACGCGACCGACCCACTTAAATCGTGCCGACTGAAAAGTTTTTTTAATAAGATTATTCAACTATCTTTTTTATTGCTTATTAACTTTATAAAATACAATTTCATCAAAATCCGTTTTTATCAGAACAGCGGCTTTTGTTTAACTCTCATTTGGCGCCCACAATATGTGGTCACAGAGGGTTAGTTCATGTTATAAAACAACGGCGATGTATCAATCTTATTATATATCTCAAACTTATAAGAATCCTACACTCTTTAAACATTTCGTGATTTAAATATACCATGACTAAGGAGTGTTAAGATGGTATTTACCAATGTGTGTTCTAAAATTAAGTAGTAAGCATGGCAAAGCCTTCTTCATGAGCAGATGAGGGGTCCACCTTGTGTATGCATATCAATAAATTTCACTGCATTTCATTTGTTTGAATCTAATAAACAATTCATGTATGGTCCTATTTTTACTATATAGGACCATGGGAGTTATAAATATTTTTTTGTTTAATTATTTCATTTTGATAAATGTAATTCAGATGTCGTTTCTTCATTCCTTTTATTTCTGGGGTAAACTTCATGACTATAACATTAGACATATGAAACTTTTAAATAATCATTTTAGATATGGTTTGGGTAGATTAAATATTGTTTATAAATACATGTACATTCTTTCCAAATAGTGTTAAAATCTTTAAAATTGACTTATGGTATGGTTTCCTAAGACGTACAGTGTATAATTTTCTTTAGTTAGGCCCTTGAAAAGAGGTTGTTTCTTTCCTTTAATATACCTTTAAAAACTGATGAGGCGACAACATTTGAACACCTGCCTGGTGGAGGGCTCCTAATTTAGACTTTTACTCGGTACTTACGACCATTGATCATTAAGCATCAGTAAGGGATCTTTTTCGTGCCAACATCTAAATGTATACTGCGACACTGGACCTATGTTTTTTACGGTCTCATTTGATTGACCAGTCTCCACGTCCCACGTCGGGACCTGTGAATAAGCTCCTGAATTATGTGGTGACTCCAAAACGAAACACTGGAATCACTGCGCCATGCGAGGCCCTTGACATTTTGTCTGTGTTAAGAACTCAAATATGATAGAAGTTTGAAAAATATACTCGGATGTCCGATGATTGAGTATTTGCGAATCTTGTCTTGTTGTAAATATTCGATTTCAATAAATTTACGCTGGCCTGAGATATTTCACAAGTTCAATTGAATAATATTTGTGATTTAATGTACCATACATGTTGCTTCATTTGTATTATTATGAAATTCGGTTTAAAATCTTTTTTTTTTGGTTCTTTCTTATTCACAAAGATATTATTCAATTTTTCAATATGTATTTTCAAAACTTCTGTGCAGAAAAAAAAAAATTACCTACCTACCTACCCAACTTGAGATTTTAGGGTCGGGTTAGGGGAAACGAAGATATTTTTAATGATGGCCTTGCTAATTGTTTTGTCAGCCATGAGAATCACATTATTGGTGTCCCCTGTAGGATAAAGTTTGGTCTTTTAGGACTGGTGTTGGTGCCTAGGGGACACATGGTCCATATTGGATTTCAGTAAAAGAAATCTTTTTTTTACTGCCCCAGCTGGGATTTGAACACCCAATAGTGCAAGAAAGTTTTCTTTCTCAGACACTAACGTTAATCACTTCACTACACAGCTCAGAAAAGGAGAAAGGCCAAAAACTGTCCATTCTGTGAGAGAAAGAACTACTGTTATCCTAAATGTTAATTACATATTTTTATCGTATGTCACATGCTTGTTTATTATCCTTTTCAAAGTGTTATGTTTTCCCTAGACCGACAGCCATATCACAAATGTTAGGCAGACGCATGAAAAGTTACCTTGTACAGCAGAAGTTTGATGAAGGCGACAGACTAATCTGAGGTTTGCTGAAGGATTTTTAAATGCAACTTTATAATTAGTTCATTTCTCGTTTCGTGTTTTACACATATGGGTAACTGTACAAGGTAACTTGACATGCGTCTCCGCCTAACATTTGTGATATATGGCTGTCGGTCTAGGGAAAACGTAACACAATTTGCTGAATTTATAGGTGATTTTTGTCTAGGTTTATTGTTTAAATAGCATGTGGGTTCATTGAAGTAAGGTTCGAATTTAGCTGCTGTAAATAGGTCATGGTGAGGAAAATCACTGAATTCTGGGTAGCAGAAGCAGCTTGCAGGTGATGCCACTAGGCGGGATGCTTAGTTGGGATCTGGGTGGGGGTCTTTCCCTGGGGGGTGACAACCTAGGGACTTTTGGTTAGGGTACACTCACGACTGTATCCTTTAAAGACAAAGTATCACTCTAGGAGGTTTGGGTGGGGATAGTGCTAACTATTGTTAATTGATAAAACATTGTTGATATATCTAAATGTGGACTTGAAGGCCACAGCAAGAGACTTCTTCTTTTCATGTAGAAGTTCTTGAATAAATTCTGTTTCAATGGAATATAAAAACAGGTTAGCTAATAAAGGGGCACATTTAGTGTCCATCAAAATTCCAACAATCCAGATTGTTGGAAGACCTGGTCTCCAAAGACAACGTAGATATCGTCAATGAGGAACTCCATCAATTTTTTAATATCAACTTCAGAATACTTGTATAGAACATGATAGAATGAGAAAGATTTTAAACAAAGTAATTTTGTAAATGACCAGTCACAAGATACGAAAATTTGTGAGTTCCATTTTCATTGAGGAAACAGTGTCTACATGCAGTGTCAAAAAGCCTGCTCTTTAATTTTTAGTGAGGATTGATGTATGAAGTGTAGAAAAATCATATGTTTGATGCTCTTGATGTTTGAAAAGTTTGGAGATCTTAATTTTCCAAGAATTTTTTGGAGTTTTTTTAGGAATCCACATTTGTTTTACACCACTTCTTCTTATTATGTAGTTGCAATATGTCTGAAGTTTCTCCTTCAGCAGTTCATATTTTAAGAGTAAATATAGGTGCTTGGTTGAACATTTACTGGACCCTAAAATATATCTTTGTTTGTAAGGATTTTATGAAGTTTGGAATCCAGTATATGTAGGGTAAATCAAACTTGCTTACATTGACTGGAATGTGTGAAATCTGAACTTCCATTAACCTTTAGAAAGATCTACCAGGGTATATGGACAAAATGGGAATTATACACATTCTACTTGACCTTAATGACCTTGGGTCAAGGATATGACCACATTAGCAATTTCTGTATAGTATGGACTTCCAAAATTTCTCCATTATGTATAATGCTTTGACAGATGGACAAACAGATTGACAAGGTGATGCCTGTATACCCCCTTAATTTTGTTTGCAGTGGGTAAAATTAAGCTGCTAATACATTTCACTAATATGCTCTTACCAAATTTACTTTTGTACATTTTAATCCATACTTGTACTTTAAATTAGCTGCATAATCTGCATTTCCGCTCAAACATGTTTTTATGTTGGAAAGCACAGTCTTTTTCACTTCTGGCATACTAAACAGACAAATGGCCGAGCTGTTGTCTACACTATTACTAAAGAGTCCCACCAACACATCGTCATCTGAAGTCAGATCAGGGAACTTTTCCTTCAGTGATATCAACAATTTCTGTCTCGGTTTGAATAACTTTGCAGTTTTCAGAATGTTAAATGTCTTGTTGTTTGTTTTGCAAGTCAATGGAATTTCTAGAAAAGTTTTTAGTAAATCATCCTCTCTACACATATGTACAATTTTGGAGTTATGTGTTGTGTCATCTGGGTTCTTTTCATTAAACAATATGTAGCTGTAATTCCCTGAAGCAAAGCCAGTAACATATGATATCAAACCAGGTTTCATGTATTTATTTTCTGTTTCATAAGTAATTTTTCCACGAAGTGAGAAGTCTAAAAGTCTTGTACTGACCGGGGGGACAGGTCTTCTAAGATTAAATTCTAAGGTATTTTTGGACTTGTCAAACTTTGTAAATTCAGTGGCTACATAAATCATAGCTTCCATTTCGTTAGTAGCACTATTCAGCACTTGTGTGATAAATGCAATGGTGTTCACATTAATTTCATTGGATGCCATTGCGGTGTTTCCAGTGACGTCAATTTCACTGATGTTCTTTGTATTCCTAATTTCACATTTTCCTTGAAAGAGACTTCCACAAATCACAAGCTTATTGGAATGAAGCAGGAGAACTTTATTGTGGTTGTCCATGGGTGACAATTCAGAAAAAGCAGAACAAGCCTTCAAATCAATTCCACATTTCTGCGAATCATTCCGAGGACCTGTAATGACCTTCGTTTCCATATCTAGATCCAGATTGAGTTGGTAGATATGGTTTGTGGCTCCAATGAACAATGTCTGATTGTCCAAAACCATGTGTCTGAGACTGCCCCTGCCATCCGTGACCAGTGGGACAATATCCATGGCAGTGCCAGACCAACCCCATAGAACACACAGGTATAGCCACCACTTCATCTTCACATATTCTCCTCCTCACTCCTCGAGCTTATCTCACCTGTAAAAGATGAAAACAGTATAACAGATTGCTCAGTAAACAACTTCTCTTTAGTCTTATCAAATGAAGAATTTGCAGCTAATGCATGACTCTCAAACTCTATAGACAAATTCTTTCTCACATGTCAAGGTAACAGATCATTCCTATTGTAAATCAAGTTTTAACTTGTAAATGCATAGCTCAATAAAGTTTGTAATCCTAAGAAATCTTTTTCTCAAGAACAGGAAGGCCATATGATAAGGCATATTAATATGCAAGCATCCTCAGGTAGTGCAAATTCAAGTTGATTCAAATCATATCCCCTCTCCTCCTGGGGTAGGGTGGGTCTTCAGTAGGGGAACAAATTCTACTTGGGAATAATCTATAGAAAAAAATCTATATGAATGCTCCCAAAAGCAACAGGACTACAAAGCAAATCACATTTCTATGCAAGCTTTCCCATATAATGCAGAAACCAAATGGGTTAGGCAAGGCCACAATAAGCATGATAAGGGATCAAATATTCACATGGATTATAAAGGGGAAAAAATCCTTAAAAATTCTCTTCTCAAAAACAACAGTGTCACAATCACTCTTATCAATGTGCAAGCAATCCAAACTAGTGCAGATTCATATTTGTTCAAATCACTTCCCTGCAGCTAGGGTGGATCTAAAATAGGTGTCCATTATTATACCTGGGAATATAGGACACAAAGGATAATTCAGTAAAATTTTAAGAATAAGAGAGCAACACTACAGTACCCGCATCGTTATTCTTTACAGTTCTATCGTGTCCTATCGTGCGTTTATCCTATCGTATCGTGCGTGTATCCTGTCGTATCGTGCGTGTATCCTATCGTATCCTATCGTATCGTGTTTTCCGTTTATCAGGTTTTGCGTTTTCTATCGTGTTTTCCGTTTATCAGGTTTTGCGTTTATCGTGAAGATCGTTTATCAGGTTCTATAGTGTATCGTGTTTTGCGTTTATCGTGTGCATTCGGAAACCCTCGCTTTTTATCTTTACCTTGAGAAGAAACACCCGAGATATCCCGAGTTCATTTTTCGTTTTGTTATTTTATTTACGATCCATTTAATTGTTGAAGAGAGAGAGAGAGAGAGAGAGAGAGAGAGAGAGAGAGAGAGAGAGAGAGAAAGAGAGAGAGAGAAATTAATAACTTATCTGATTCTCTGGTATATAAATTTAAGAAAATAAATAAATGAATTACTTAATAAATAAATAAATACATAAATAAATAACAAACAAAAAAAACGTCAAGTACCGGCCGTAACCAAGCAGAGAGCGTAAATCGAAAGTTAAATCTATTTAGCACATAAAATAATCGGTATACAAGTCAATCGTTTTTTTTTTTAATTCAGATTGTCGATTTGTAAGAAATACTATTTGTCAAAAATAGAAATATTATAATTTCTTTAAATAGTCAGAGTCACTAAAAGGTAGACCATTATTAACTTTCTTTTGATAATTATAGAAAAATAAAACAGTAGGTATGTGTGCAAAAATAAATAAATTGAAAAAACATCAGCATCTATATAAGGCCTATCTTTTTATCAATAATGGAATTAATCAATAACAAGTTATTCATTTCTCAGAAAAATTATTTATTAATATTTGAAAAGCATCGTCTGGTAACACACATGTACATGTAGTTGTATTTTTATGCCTCTATTCTAAATGTATGCACAATCAATTATCTAAAGGATTGTTTCCAAATGATTCATAAAGGCATATACAATGTAATGCATGATCTTGATAACATTTACAAATTTTGTCTGTATGTGCAAGTATGTAGTTCCTATTTATTTTTTTTTCTATTTGTTTCTCTTATGTGTCTAACTAAAAAATAAATTACAATTTATAATGCATGAGCATGTTCTATTCAGTTCATCATTATTATAATTATATATCATAATGTAGATGTTTAACCATTTTTACTTACTACTGCCTTTAGAAATCGAAAAAAAAAATCAGTATACATCTTACCTATTTCGGCGTGGAAATGAACTGAGTATATACTGTACACTGACAGACGGAAGCGCTCCCGTACCAAAAGAACTGACACCTATATGTACCTGCCTAATCAGTACACTGTCTCCCTGTCAGGTCAACACCCAACCCCCTACCCCTATATGACACCTTGGCCCGTGTGTATTCAAGGTCAACATACCTGAACTGCTCTCTCATCTGGTGACAAGTATTTACCTTGAACCCTACTGAGTATAAATATATGCAAAAATTTATATGAAATCGTCCGGTTTTGCTCCGATACACAAGACATGTAAATGCCTTGAATTTAATTTCATGAGTGTTTATCGATTACATTTAATACTTGACTATATTCAAGAAGTCAATATATATTTTAACTTTTTTTTTCTTTTTGAATCGGATCTTCTTTTTTTTTATTTTAGTGGTAAGTGACCCCCCCCCCCCCCCCCCCCCCCGCTGACTGTGCCTCAGGTGGGATTAAGAATTTCATTATTTACAAAGTTTTGTTTTATTTTGCCGATATAGCAATAAGTAAGATAAGTTTAGTAACAATTAATACAGAGTCTAATAGAAATGATTTACAGTTTTTCAGTCCGAAAATATGCTTGTCATATTGTGGAAATTTATTTTACATTATTATTTATTTGTGTGTGAATCAGTTTATAGCATACACGTAGCTATGGTAGATATAAATTCTGTTAATGTGAATATTTATAATCAGCTTTTCCGCGAAAAGAATCCCGACAAATTACACTTCTTTTCCGCGATAATATTTTTTGCTTTTCTGGGATTTAATTTAGCACTTATCCTTTCCGTTAGTCAGGTAAATACTCTTTCTCCCTGCTATCAACCGGCTTCAATCTTTTTTTTTTTTTTTTTTTTTTTTTTTTTTTTTCTTTTTTTTTTTTTTTGTCTTTACTGAGATTGTTGTCAGTATTCCTTTTGTTTCTAACTCGGCAATCTGTAATTGTGGCTTTGCATATTTTATCTTTATCGTTAAGACACATCGCCATTATTTAAAACATTTAACCTTTCTATAAGTAAATCCATCGTTTGTAATATATATTTGTTACCACGAGTTGGTTCGTTATGAACAATTTCCATGGCACCTAAAACATCACCGACCAGTGTAATACATGTATGTGATTCATTCAATTTTTATCACAGTGTGGTACTATCGAGTAGAACTTTTCAGGGAGATACATGATAATCCGGAAAATATCGGCAACAGTTTGATGTAAAGTACTTACCGTGACAATTTAAAAATCGCGAAAAGGAAGTATCGAAAAAAGGAGAAAACATACAACTTATAGTAAAATTCAATCGCGGAAAAGCAGTATAGGGTAGTCGCGGAAACGCAGACAGGTTGCAAAAATAAAACTGCGGAAAAGCAGCTGGGCGAGGCTTGTGTAGAAAGCATTTTCATTTCTTTGGGGGGGGGGGGGGGTCTAAACAGAAATGTTTTGACAAGAAAACAAAAGAGGCTAAAGACATTATTGTTGACGGGCGATATTATATAACCATTACATTTTACTCTATACTTAACATGTTGGTACACTGTAACATTTTAAGGTACACGACTGCGTTCTCCCTTCTGGGTCCTATACAGGCCTATGGCATTGGAAATACCAGAGAATAAATACAAAAGAATGGAAATGCGATATTCTTTTCGGATACTAGATGATCTAGTGACGTTTATTAATTTTGTTCAATTCGATTTCTTTCGGCCGTTATCCTTCATATATATACATATACAATGTATGGACTTAGAATAGGTAAATTATTATTTTACGTACCGCATATATATTTGTGACATATACATGATTGTATATTTATAGAGGAGAGATTATATAATCACAGTCCAGTGCACAGCCTGTGTCAACGCAACTAGCATATTTCAGCAAGTAACGTGTTTAAAACGTAAAAAAAAAAAAAAATAAATTATATAATAAAAACAAAATCATAAAAACTTTAAGGAGACAGCGTTAACTTTAAAATGTAATAATTTTATGTATATATATTTTTCCCCTAAACTGACTAGTAAATTATTTTCGTAAGATTTGAATTATTAAATACCGATGATTTAAATTCATGCGATTTTGGATACATCACTGACTTCTAGCAGAAGATATTGAATCCAAATATTTCATTTATTACAGAGTTCTTCCGGATATATACTCAGTATTTGATAATAGATTTATAAGGTTTCATTTGTTAAAATACCGAATATATTTATAGCGTTTCATGAATTATTGCATTTGGTTAAAACTTCAATTGACTACGAAATTTTTGAGCAACCATCATTAAAATCTCTGTTTTCAAACGACTAAAATTCAAATTTAACGATTCGAAGGAATTTCGACATTTAAATTATTATACAAACAATCGCATAATTTCCACCTAAGAGTGCAATTTATCTAAAATAATTACAGTTTGAATTTTGTGACGATCCATTATTGACAAAAAATAAATATGTTTCTTGTACAAAGCATAGTTACCTCAAATGTTTAATCATAATACATTTAATATATTTAAGCATTTAGATTTGCGGCTTTCTAAGTAATTAAAATCATCATACTACAGTGTATCTAAAAAGGAAACAATTCGTCTTGTCAAAATACGTTTCGCATTTTGAAACAATCCTATCAGGTTTTGCGTTTATCCTATCGTGAAGATCGTTTATCAAGTCTATCGTGTTTTGCGTTTATCGTATTTTGCGTTTATCGTGTTTTGCGTTTATCGTGTTTTGCGTTTATCCTATCGTGCGTGTATCCGGTCCTATCGTGCGTGTATCCTATCGTATCGTGCGTTTATCCTATCGTATCGTGCGTGTATCCTATCGTATCGTGTATCCTGTAAAGAATAACGATGCGGGTACTGTAACCAAATTGATATGCAATATTCCCATGTCTTGTGGATTCAAATTTATTCAAATCATGGACAATGGATTGAGGTAGGGTTAAAATTTCACAAAATTCATGTATCACATATTGGGAAAAATCTTCTCATATTAATA